CAATGTCTCATGTATAGAGAAGGGGCTGTTATGGGACAGAACATTCACACACTCACATTCATACATATATTAATAGAGAGCTGTGACTCAAATGCATATGTGTGTGGAATTGCAGGCTGTTGTGTGCAGTCAACACCCCCTTGCATTTATCATTGATGAGTTTCTTCTGGCACAGTGTCTTCAGAATGGCAGGCACCTTCTGGAGATCATTATGACTTCCAACTGCTAGTCAGAAAGCAGCAGGTAGAAGATTTGGCCACAGATTCAGTTTCACCTGTGATGTAGTACTTCACCTGTGATGTAGAGACCAGGAAGCTCCACATGGTAAAGAAGGCAAGCGACAGTAGCAATTTTATCCATGGGAGAGGTTTTGGGAAACTGATTCTGTGGCCAAATCTACTACCCGCTGCTTTCTGATTAGCAGTGGAAAGACATAATGATCTCCCAGAAGGTGCTTGCTACTCTGAGGACACCATGCCAGAAGAAACTCATCACTGATAAACGCAAGGGGGTGTTGATTGCAAGCAACAGCCTGAAATTCCGGGCACATGTCTGCGTTTCTTTTTTGGAGTCCTAGCTCTGGCTTCCTTCCTCCCAAGAGCTCAGGATACCATACATGGTCCTGCCCCGCCCCCCTGCTACATGCAGAGCAAGTAACTCAAGACAGCCAAGCCACACATGATGTGAGTCTTATGATCAAGGAGTTATTCCCTTCCCCCAATTATTTTTCATCAAGGAATTAAACATATACAGTGGTACCTCTGGATGCAAACGGGATCCGTTCCGGAGCCCCGTTCACATCTAGAAGCAAACGTAATCAGCGACAGCACGTCTGCGCACGTGTGCGTCGCTTTTCACCGCTTCTGCGCATGCGTGTGATGTCATTTTAAGCGTCTGTGCATGCGGAAGCAGCGAAATCCGGAAGTAACGCGCTCCGTTACTTCTGGGTTGCCATGGAGCGCAACTCGAACGCGCTCATCCCGAAGCACATTCACCCCGAGGTATGACTGTAAAAGCTTTCAGGGGAAAACCTTCAGTTTCACCAGAATCACCCTCCCATTTCTGTGTTGCTCACCCAACAGTCACTCCCCTTCCCTTGCTGTAGCCCCCTCCCTCTTTTTCCATTTGCATGCTAGTTGGCTAGGCACAACGTACCACAGCCACCTACCATTTTAGTATGCCCAGAGTCCTGGTCAAATTAACATCCTGAGTGGCTGGATCTCAACCGCATTGTGCTTTGCAGTGTGTCCAGGCAGCCACCCAGCAAGCAAATTTTCATTTATTAAAAAAGGAAGTTTAAAAAAATCAGAGCAAGGCAGAAGGGAACAAGCAGATGGCTTTCATTTTGGGGAAAACCAGCCTCATATAACCAACATGCTTAAGTCTAATTAATGCATGGAGGGGTTGGGACCATAGAGTAAGCTGCCCTCCCAAGCTTAGTTCGCTTTGGGAGGCACTAGATAATCAAGCCTATTGTTCACCCCGCTCCCCTCAGTCTACCAGAGAAAGTCAAGATGTGAAGAAGCTAAGCTGGTTGCTCCAGCTTACTTGCATGGCTATCACAAGCCGTTCTTCTGTTCCTATACCAATAATTTAGGAACTTTCACCACTTTGGAACTAAGCTACGTTTTACTGCCTATGCAACCTACCTGTCTGATGTATGGAAAAGCACATGAACCTGACCTTGGAGACTTTGTAAGTAAACCATTTTTAACTTACTAAATGTGTGGTCTTTTCCCATGCCGGGGGAAGAGGGGCCTATAGTGGAACTCACTTGGAAATACATATTCTAAAGGTCTAACAGTTTATATTTCTACACTTTACTTTGCCTCATAATTTGTGAGTTTAAATCTCTGCTGGGGTTCTCTCACCAAAGTGTACTTGCCCCAAACTTAGATCTTGGCATCCAGGTGTTCTCCCTTTTTATATACCTATTCTTTCATTGCACCAACATTTATTGCATATGCAAACAAGTCGGAACATGGATACACCCTACCTTCATCACATTGCACATTACTGAAGGATGATTTGGGCTGAACATTTGGGGCTCCTTGCAGGAGCGAATTGGGGCTGCTGGATCAGGCATTGCAAAGCTCTGCTGTACTCCTGATTCTCTTCTCGTTGCAGTTGTTATTTTTGATCAAATAAAAATACGAATTTAACAAGTTTAAAAAGCAGGGGGAGAGATAGGAGATCCAGGGCCTGGTGCAAAAGACCAGAACTTGGGCCATACCTAAGAATGCCAGTGAAACAGTGGCGTAGCGTGGGCGGTGCAGGGGGGGCCGGCCGCACCGGGCGCAACATCTGGGGGGGGTGCTCGCACTCGCAGCTCTCTGCCCCTACCTGGCTCCACGGGTTAGGGGGCGCAAATTACTTGCCTTGCCCCGGGTGCTGACAACCCACGCTACGCCACTGCAGTGAGAGGCAGTGACTGGTCCAGGGCCACATAGTTGAACGGCTCTGTGCTATGCGGCAAGTCAAGCACTGGAGAAATAACTGAATGTTGAATTTGAGAGAAACGCTGTTAACATAAAACGTCACCTGGTTTGCAAATGAGATGCCACTAATTGGCATCTAGCTTTGCAGGGCGAAATGAACCCTTAGGCTGTAAGCTAACCAGGCGTGCAAGATTCCTGTGTCACCATCGTGCAGTGCAAATAGATGCACTTCAGTCAGTTTTTCCTTCTCCTTTATTTAACGGTATTAGTACTACTTTGAAAAAAAGGAGGGGGGGAGTGAAGGGAAGCAGTTTCCTTCTACCTCTATAAACTGCAGTTTCCATTGTGATGCAAATGCATATCCGTTGGAAAGTAGACCAAGAAGTTTCAAAAGTAAATGCCACAAGAGTCCTGAGCTAGTCTGCGCCTTGAAATCAATAGAGCAGCAGCTCCTTCACGTCATCGCGTTTCTTTGAAAAGAGGTAATTTGCCGCCGCTTGAATACCAACGCTGTTCTTCAGCGGCCTCTGGCGGCTACCTAGGAAACAACAGTGTTTATACAAAGACTGGCGTGACTTTTACTGTCCTGTTGCTAGTAAGGAGAACCAAACGGACTGTGTTTGTCGTAGGGCTTGTAAAGAGTAGCAACTGGCCTAGGATTTAGCATAAGTTTGATCTTCTCATCCACAACCACTACACACATACTAGAACACTGCTACAAACTTGGTTCATTAGCATCTGTGAACAAAATTCTTCTATGGAGAAGCACTGAATAACTAAATCGTGATGTAGTCCTTTGCTTCTCCTTTCAAGCATAAATATATGGTTATATGAGCTAAGTCCTTGCTGCTGCCCCGATACAGTCAAGGAGCACAAGCCTCAGGCTTTCCTACATTTAAAATGACTGTGTGATACTGAATGTTCATATATACACCTTGCCCCCGCTCACTGCAACATCAAAGAATTTCACATACAGCAAGATTGATCAAGGGGACAAGGCTGCTCCATGGAAAAGGGAATACGGTATATAGCAGAAAACCAGTCGAAAATGATTAGATGACCAGGCTATCAAATCAGTCTGGGCACTTCTGTGACTGTTAGGAAGCTGAGGCTTGTTAGTCCAAGACACCACAACCTTTTGGTTGGTGTTGAAACACGCCAGAATACAAAGAACTTAAAAATACAAACATAAAAAAGAGTACAGATGATTCCATCATGAGACAAGGTAAAGAGAAAACATTCTATTTGGGAAAAGAACGTTCAGGTATGGAAAAGGAAAAAAGTAAAATAAGTTTTTAAAAGGCTCAGTTTGGAGCGAAGGTGACAAATGTTTGAGTGAAAACAAAAAATTGTTGTATTATTGTCATAATGGTGTCAAAATGGAACTGTATTTTGATGGAATGCGCCAGCTATGCGATTGTCCTGCCACATGTCAGAAACAGCCACTAAATGGCAGCAAAATCCTGCAGGTCAGTGTCACCCCAGTAACGCACAAATGATGGGTTAATTTTTCAGAAATGGTGATACATAAAACCTTTTGGAACAAACTATCCCAATAAAAAGTAGAAACATTCTTCCATCTTGGGATATAACCAAGTGGACAGCAACCAAGAAACAAACCACCAAGAGTTTACAAGTAATATAAGTGTTTTTGTTAACAAATGTTTACCAAAAAAATAGCTTTGGATCTAGTGACACCTCTCATCCCATCATGAGGCCTATTTCCCTTATAGACATAGTGGCATTTCCACCACATGTGCCAGTAAGTCCTCTTTTGGATACTGCCATGCCTGTAAAAGAGTGGTGATTGCTTGTGTTATGCAGGCCAGGCCAGACAGACTGGGATCAAAACATACTGGTGGACCTCTTTCTGAGTTTTCTCGTAACACAAAAGGTCTGAAGGACACAAAATTGGCACCATTCGAGAAGATTCACTTTTTGTCTTTAAGAACTGACTCGAACCCATTTCAAATTTTCAAAGGGGGAAATCAGAGTCAAGAAATAAAGTATGCATTACTAAGACTAGGTCTCTGGCGTTACCCAGGGATGCCACAGCTTCAGGTCTTGAAAGCTTTTTATCTCCACTTCTTAAAACAGGTTGCCTATTTTCTCTTCCAAGAGAACTGCTGTGTGTTCTAAATCTAGACAGTTCTCTCCTGCATTGTTTCTTTGTTCTTCCACCTGTCAATTGGATGATTCATCAAAGAACACTATGGACCTGTTTAATCAGCAAGAGTTGAGAGCAAATACACTATGTGCATTACAACATGGGAACACAACTTGCACAGGCAACTCTACCTGGCTGCTTCCACAGGATCGTGAAGTCAAGTACTGATCGAGGTTCCAGTAAACAGGGTCCCTGCTGGGCCAGACCAAGTGACCACCCATTGAACCATCTTGATTCCAAGAAATTGGTAATGTAGGAACCCATATTATACAATTAGGAAACTGACCCAACTAGCTCAGTATTTTCTACGCTGGTAGTATACCCAGCCAGATGGGTGGGGTATCAACATCATCATCTCTCCAGGATTTCAGATGAGAATCTTTCTCATGGCTACCTGGAGATTCCAGGGCTTTGAACCTGGCACTTTCTGCATGTGAAGGAGATGCTCTCCCACTAAACCACATTCATTTCCCTAATGCTAGACATAGGAAGCTGTGTTATACAGAGTGGCCCATCTAGCTCATACAGACGGACATTCAGATGTCTCTGAGAAAACTGCAAGCAGGGAATGTTGGAAACCTGTTTTCCTCAGTGTGTCCAGCACCCGGCATTCATGGAAGACAAACGTCCACAGGCACCACAGGTCTGGTTCAAAGGCAGTAAAACAGCTGCTAGGAGGCAAAAAGCAGGGTAATCCGCTCCATTAATGGCCTACTTGTAGACTTCTGCAGAGACAGCAACTTCTGGGTAAGGCTCAGCGGAGCTTCAGTCTGATCAAGAATTCATTTGTGAGCGCCCAATAATGGCAATGCCTCCAGCACCACCCTGACTTTTTCGTCCCCTTGTGTTGTACAGAGACAGCATTTGTGTTTACATATTCCAGCTTTCTCTTAAGGGGTGCTGCTGAGGATGCTTTGCCTGAACTGCCCCCTTCCCCCATCCATACACCAGATCCAGGACTTGAAAAGAGTCTCCACATAGCAGCCATGAAGTGAACAACAGGATCAGGCTACCTTCTTTAGGCTGAAAGGCTACATTCACTCGCAGTCCACCCTCCAGGTCCTGCATGCCAGCAGTGGCTATGGCCACCCCACATGCACAACACACAGCCACCCACCCATTGGATTTGAGAAGTTTCTTACATGGTAGAAAAACTCAGCAGAGACCCCCTGTATGGCATGGAAAATCAGCAGCTTCTACACTAGCAGCAAAAGGGATGCGGGTGGCGCTGTGGGTTAAGCCACAGAGCCTAGGACTTGCCGATCAGAAGGTCGGCGGTTTGAATCCCTGCAACGGGGTGAGCTCCCATTGTTTAGTCCCTGCTCCTGCCAACCTAGCAGTTCGAAAGCACCTCAAAGTGCTAGTAGATAAATAGGTACCGCTCCGGCAGGAAGGTAAACAGCGTTTCCGTGCACTGCTCTGGTTTGCCAGAAGCGGCTTAGTCATGCTGGCCACATGACCTGGAAGCTGTACGCCGGCCAATAAAGCGATATGAGCTCCGCAACCCCAGAGTCGGTCACGACTGGACCTAATGGTCAGGGGTCCAGTAGGGGTCCTTACACTAGCAGCAGGTATTCCTGGCATCAGATGGTGATGGCATGAATGCTCACAGGTCAAGCTGCAAGGAGCTGTTCCAATCAGTCTCCTTGCAGATGGTTCTAACAGCGATCCTCAGTCTCAAAAAGTGTCAAGGGTGGGAATCAGAGAGAAATCCCTTTGGCATATAAGGTATTCATCTATGGATTGTTGGGAAAGAGTCCCAAGTGAAATGTAGATTCCCAAGACATTTCCCCTTCACACGTTTGAGAATGTGCTATCAATAAATGGTATCACTGCAAAAGCTGAATTTCCTAAGCCACCACTTGGTAATTCTTCCCTGTTGAGTCAGGGACAGGATGCTAGCGGCCCTTAAATGTTGTTGAACTCCCTGCTCCCATCAGTCCAGCCAGCATTAAGCAAGGGTCAGGGACGGATGGGTGTTGTAGTCCAGCAACATCTGGAGGCCTTGGATGTTTGAGCCCCATTTCCCCCTACCACACACCCACCGCTCACAGCAAGCTTGGAAGAACTTCGACGAGGAGGCGAAAACCATGTCAGTTTCAAGATTTTATTTTACCGTCAGAAAAGGGGAAGCTGATGATTCCAAATCTGTTACTCCAGATCTTTAGATTTACAGACAAAAACGCATCAAATCAATTTAACCCCCAAAAAAAAAAAAATTCCTGCAAGGGACGGAGTGGGGAAGAGGAGTCGGGGGCAGAGACGTAGCTATGAAAGAGAACCGCGCACACACACGCTTGGTCCCAGTTCTAACACAAGTTGGGGACTCGCAATAGCCCCGCTGAGTTGGGCTGCTGAGCTGGAACGTGCCCACCTGACAAAACAGAGAGCAGGCCCTGCAAGGCCTCCTCTTTCCACGCCAGTGGGGTTTCTACTGGGGGGGGGCAGGGCTGTCCGGGCATCATGAAGGAGAAGCATCTAATCAAGGCAATAATAAATACTGACAGGCCAGGCACATGATTTCAAAGGCAGAACAGACATAAGGCATTCACTGCTCTCGAATATTTGTCCATAGCAAGCTCTTTTGTTCGGATCAGGTGAGGAGCAGCTGAGCTGGGCCAATCCTTCTTCCAGCCCTGAAACCCAGGGACTGCCCTGGGACTGCAGGGCTTTGCAGCCAGTTTAGGTGTGACAGAACTAAGATGGAGATGACAGTGGCACTCGTAACTTCCACGCCCACCAACAGGCCCCACCTCCCTAGCTGGAAGCAAGCGCTTCTCTGGCCACAGGGAACCTGTAAGGGGTAGCAGCTTAAGCCCTTGAGACATCAGCCTCAGCAGGGGGATGGTCTGGCCAGAAGATGCAAAATCAGGAGGAGGGAGGGGTATGTGTTGGGGGACAGGACAGGAGCACATATAAAAAGTGTAACAAGGTCGGGGGGGGGCCCTCCCTGGAGGATGTATGTTACACACATTAAGGCATCATGGTTACAGGAAACCATCACAAATGGAAAGCCGACCCATGTCTCCGGAGGAGAAGGGGCAGGCCATGAACATGATTGAGCCTGGAAACAATTGGGGACGGACGGGGGGGCAGCAGGCAGTTCCCAGCTCTGCATGGAATCGATTCCTCAGCACCTTGCCCATCACCCAGAGACAGGAGTGCCTCCGAATCCTCTCCCCTGCAGGCAGGAATATTGCTTCCCCTTCAGCACCTGCCTGAAATGTATTCAAAGTGGGTCAGAAGCAGCAGACCTCGTAATCGGGAGGCCAGAGAAAGGAGAGGGAGCACTTCCACCTCTGCGCTTGGGCCAGACAGTGCAGGTTTGGTCAATTTCTTTCAGTGATTCTTGGGAGGAAATATGTGGGGCGCTGAGCCAAAAGGTCTTCCTGATGAGCTTAAGAATGGGGAAGGGGGAAGGGTATCAAATGCCAGCACTTTGGTACAGGGTGGGGGGGTTTTCTACTGTAGCCGCTGTCTGAGCAACTCTCAGGATTTGGCTAGGGAAGGGCTAATCCTTCCACTCCTTCTTGATGTTCAGGTTCCACTCCCAGGAAAGGTGGTCTGTCTTGTCGTCGTCTGTAAATTTGGATCGGATGTTGTAGCTGCCCCGAGCCAGCATGCCCTTGGGGGCTTCCTCCATGGGGGTCAGGAACTCGTAGTCCTCGGCACGTGGCCCGTAGCTCCCAACCATGTAGTCAGTCTTGTCAACTAGAAGGAGAAAAAACACAGACACAATATGTGAACCGGAATATCTGAAATACGCCCATGACTCTCCAAAGAGTTTTTGTGGGGAGAGGGAAGAGCCAGCCTTCCAAAGCCATTGGAATCACTCGCTGCTGCCGCCTGCATGGTTGGCATTCAAGCGGAAGCAACACATCCTCTGTATTAGCTTAAACACCAAGTTCCAGTTTTATTGAGGTAATGTTTCAAACTAAAAGTTGACAGAACGCTTCTGAAAAACCATTGCAAAGGCCCCCCCTTTTTTTGCTCTGTAAAAAGCAAATGAAAGGTATGGGATCCACTGCACATGACCCCCCCCCCCCACTCCTTGACACTTACTTTTTACTCCTTTCCTGAATGTGTGCTGAATATACTTCAACCCCGAAACAATCTCTTTGTGCACCTAAATAGACAGAGAATTCCATCAGCCAACATGCACTTTTCTCTGACACACAAAATCCTAAAGGCCAGAGCAATGTGCTTAGCGAACCGAAGGCTGACCAATATGACAAAAGACCTCACCCGAAAAGAGATTTTTAGCTGGTATTCAACACCTTCCTTCAGCACAAAGCACTGCTTCTTGAAACTCTCCAGGTCACCTGAACAGCAAGGAGAAGGCAGGAATCAAAGACAGGCAAACTTTCCACTGAGAGTTTTAAAGCAAAGAGCAGCACATTGATTTCTATGTACTATTAGCATATAAAGCCCTTAACAACTTGGGACCAGTTTACCTACGAGATCCCTTTCCTCCACATGTGTCCATTTGATTACTTAGGATTGGCACCACATAATACCCGTTCCTCATTTTTAAGAACTTGATTATTTAGTGTGGCAGCACCTGCCCTTTGGAACTCCCTGCGTATTGAGGTCAAGCAGTTGCCTTCACTGTACTCTTTCAGACAATCCAAAGGCACGTATACTAGGCCATTTTGCAGGCTATTCAGCTGGCACTGCAGCACTCGGTAAAATGGCTGGGTTTGCATCGAGTCCTACTGTAGTCTAATATTTCCTTCTTTCCAAAAAGAAAGAAAAAGAGAATTGTGCATTCAGGTCCAGATTGGTTTTCCCTCTGGCAACCTGCTTATTCCAGCTGGCAGCTCTGCTACAACTCGGCAAACTGCACTCTCTCCTAGCCAAAGTCTGGCAGACCTTTCCCAGAATGCAAAGGTGCAGATGTGAAATGAGGCATGTGCCTTTGCTGGGAGACTGCTCTACCACTGGACCGGTAGGCTGTCTGAACAGCGAAATATAAATTTGGCTGCTCTGAAACTAAGACTTAGTCTATCTCATGGATCAATGCTGAGCCCTAAGATGACTTTAACACAAGCCTATTCTGTAATAGGCAAGACGAGCCTTAAACCACATCACAGCAGCAACTGTGCAGGGAAAACTCTCTTCAAATGGCTCTCAGATCTGGCAATGACCTCTTCTCTACAAAACTGGGTGCAAAGCAAATGCTATAGGGCGAAACTCTGTGTAGTAGTAGAAGTTTGTATAGGGCTGGCTATCTGCAGTGAGAATGCAATGTATTGAGATTGAAAGATCCTATGGTGAGCCAGACTAGCCTACCTGTACAGGACTGATCATATATTCTGACCTAACCCACTCACCTGTGAGGTCCAACTCCAAGGGTCCAGGAGCAGTAGCGCAGACCAAAGTCAGTTTTGTTACCACCACGTTTGGAGTGCTGGGATCTGAAAGAGAAGTTGAGGCATAAATACCAGAGGGTAAGCAGACCAGCCCTTAAGTGTCTCATTTGATAGCTGCAGGCATGGGCTGCAGAGCAGAGAAGCAAAAAAAGCATGGCAAGTATGGATCCACCAATGTACTGCGCAGCAGTCAACAAACCTGCAACCTGGTGAGCCTTTGGGTTGTATCCAATTCAATTCTCCCATTAAGGACCTCTGCCTGTGCAATTGGGCTTGTTCTCCCTCCTTTCTCCCCATGCACCTCCATTCTGGGTTTTCCACCACCACCACCTCTGCTGAGCAAATTTGGGGAGAGTGAAGGGAAGTCTTATCGTGCAGGCCAAAGTCCGTGTGCTAACAGGTCAACTTCATTGGATACAACCCTTTGTGTCTTCACTTTAAGATAAGTTTACTTAATGTTCTCTTCACAATCGGACTGTACTGAAAGCCACAAGTGGATCCCAAAACTGAGATTAAGAGGAAAGCTTTGTGCCTTTAACTCTTCTGGTTCCCTGGTCCTTATAGTTTCTCACCCCCTACTCACCTACCAGTACTTATTCCCCATCATCTCAGGTGCTCCCAAAAAAGTAATTAGCAGTGTGTGTGTTGAGAGAGAGACAAGAGAAGGCTTACACAAGTTTACTCCTGACTTAGTTCTGCTTACAAACCTGTAGAGTTTATTCAAAGTCTAAAGTTCCAGTTTGCAGAGACAATTCCCCCCTCCAAGACCATGGATTTCAGGACTGGGCAACTCCCAAGCTTCTTTCCTCAGGACCTCAGCTCTTGGCTTAGACCAGATGGTTTCCACACCACATCCAAATGGAAGAGGGCCAAATACTTTTGGAGAAGCATGCATGTGTGAGAAAGTGGGGCAGGTTTCAGAAGGCCTGCTTCCCTCACACAGTAGGCCCAAGTACGTCCTCCAGGGACTCACCGACAGCGATGGCAACATTTCCCAACAGGGCCTCCTTGTACTTGCGTAAACTCTCATCATCCTTGTCCAGTTCCTGAATCTCCTGGATGCTCTTCTGGGCAGGGGGCTTGTAGTTGACAGAGTGCTCGTCCTCTTCATTTTCAGCTGCAATCTGGGCCAGCTGTTCGGGGGTAGGCTCTTGTTCAGCCATTTCTGCAACTATGACCTATGGGGGGGGGGGGAGAGAGGAGAGAAGGAAGGGACACAAACAAGCACATTAGCTACGGCAACTTGGCTGGAAACAGCAATGTCTGCAAGGGGAAAACCCTTGCCAAAGCTCAAGGAAATTCCCCAGGTGCTGTAATCCTTTAACTTTCTGAGATTTTTGTCTTTGTGCACAGAATTCCTGAAGGAATTAAAGGAGCAGAGACTGAGGTTCCTAGCTGATATGCTCCCCTCCTCCTCCTCAAAAGAGGCACCACAGGATGTGAACCTTTGCACTTTGCCCCCTGCTGCTGAAGTTAAAGAGCTTCATTGCCAGATAGATGTTCTGTTCCACCTCACTCAGGAGCTGGAAGGAAGGGAATCAACCGAGTGACAAGCTTGCTGCTCCACCCTAGTCTTTATCACTGCATGCTAGCTCCATTAGCCAAATTCTGCCCCATATAAGCCAATGGCCCCCCAACTCACACAGCAGGCAGGCTAGGGTTGGCAGCACCTGCTGCCCGTCTGAAAGAGAAATGAAGCCAACGCTAAACAAAGCCAGCGAAGGTGGCTGCTGCTATTGGCTGGGGTGGGCAGACAGAGGGAGCAGTCATGGAGTGAGGTGGGGTAAGCTTCCTCCAGGCTCTCTCAGGACAGCGAATAGGAAGCTATTACGGTAACCATGGTTAAAGGAGCCTGCTCTCATTATAAAACCCGGTTCAGACACTCCCAACTCCTCCGCAGGCTACAAAAAGCCCTTTGAAGTTGCAACTCATCCCAGGGGGCTCCCTGGAAAGGTTAGAAATGATCTGAGGTGGTGTTCTCAAGCAACAGGGTTTCAAAGGCCTTGGAATTTTCCTTTTGTGCTGTTGGCAACCAGCAAGCTCGGGCCGCTTGTCTTTTTTAAATAAAAAAAAAATGGTGGTTCAGGGGAAGTAGCTGTTCCGCTGCCACCAATTTTCTTCCTCTTGTGCCTCTCCTCTCCTCGGATTCACTTTGCATAAATATGCAGAGGTCAGAACAAGGGCTAAAATCACGCCAACAACCACTACGCAGATGCTAAAAGGACCCAATGAGGGGAGAGTGGAGCGCACTTGAAACCTGGAACAAACTCCACACTAACCAAACTGATTAGTTGTGGACGGCCTGTTGCTTCCAAAGTACAATCTCATTTGAATAGCGTGAAGGGGGAGCAAGACCAGGCCCTGAGGAGCTGTGACAAACAATAAGTTGAAGTGAAGCCAGGTCTTTTGTCTCAAAGCATCACAAACGGGAAAAGAGCATCAGGATGCCAGATGAATCCTGCTAAACACTTTAAAAAAAACCAAAAACTTTGGCACTTTATTATGAAATCTTATTGGGTAACAAGGCAGAAAACAATATACTCCCCCCCAACCCAGTGAGCTTTCAAAGGTCTTCTCTGCTCATAAAAAGCTGCCTTATAATGCAGCGGACATTGGGCCTATCTAGTTCAGGGCAGCCTACACTGACTGGAAGCAGCTCTGCAGGGTTTTTAAGCCTGCGGTCTTCCCCAGCTCTGCTATGGAGATGAGTCAGGGACTTTTTGCATGTTCTCCACCACTGAGATATGGCTCTCGAGTCTAGCCCAGCCCCCGACTGTGCTCTGGGGTCTAAAGTTTGTGTACCTCCAAATTTCAGGACCACTAAAAGACCAGACACCTGGCTGTAGGAACTGCCTCAACAACAGCAGCTTTTGCTACTTAGTCCTCTTTGAGTCCTTGCCTTACTTAGTCCTTGCCTGCACCTGCAGGGCTTGGATGAAGCAGCAAATCTCAAACTGGGCAAAAGTATGCCAAAGTCAATCAAAACTGTACAGTCATACCTTGGATCCCAAACGCTTTGGTACTCGGACGTTTTGGCTCCCGAACACCACAAACCCAAAGGGAGTGTTCCGGTTTGCAAACGTTCTTTGGAACCCAAACGTCCAGTAGAGCTTCCTGCAGCCAAACAGAAGCCACGCTTTGGTTTCCAACATTTTGGAAATCAACTTCCAGAACAGATTTTGTTCAACTTCCAAGGTACGACTGTATTTCAATTTTCAGGAAGCTTTCTCTGCCCTTGTATTTGATGGAGAACAAATGAAAACGGGGACAGAAATGTTTTGTCACTAATTATTCAATCAGGTAACGGACAGCAGTTCTGGAAGGGATTTGTTCATGTGGCTTACAATGTATTGATGTTTTATGATGTCATAATACGATGTCATAATTTTTCTAACCTTGGCAACAAGCAGTGTTAGAAACTAAAATATATAAGCTAGGTGCCATACGGCTCCTTAAACCAAGGTTACAGTTGCCAAAACGGAATGTCTTTTGGGCAAGACGGCTCTAAAGTCTTATTTTTCAAACTACAGACGGACTGTGATTGATTATTAGTTAAACATCTGGCTAGTTCAGATTACATTCTTGAGCTAGGTTAGGAGCTTTGAGAACTTACAAGAAGAAAAGCTACTTTATTTAGAGACAGTCCAGATATATACTGGCGTATTCCTACCTCTTTTTCTTAATGGTGACATGGACCATTCATAACATATGAACATTATTCACAACTGTGAGCAGGGTAAGTGAAGACAATCTACAACAAATTAACTATAATGTCGTTCACTGCTCCTGTTCACGTTGTAGAGAAAACATTTCGGTTCCTGAAATTCATTCTGATTGTGCAGATAAAATATAACCAATAGAATTGTACAGGATGGGGTATTAGTATGTGAAAACAGTCAAGATCCAAGGATCCCCAGGTGTGCACCTCCAGATGGTGATGTCAAGCGCCATCCTGTCACTCAGGCATCTTCACTTGGTTGCAAGTGGCCGACAATCAGATGCAAAATGCACCTGGCAAATTTTGTACAATGGCCACAAGTCTCCTTGCTTATCCTGCTGAAACAGATATTAACACAGCTACCTCTCTAGAAAATGAAGCTTATGGGTTGCTGTTGTTTTTAACAATTAAGAGTAGAAATGCCAGGATTTCAATCAACTAACAAGGACTCAGCACAGCTGGAACAACTTTTTATTGGAAGGAAGAACTCCACAAAGATGGCTCAATGTGCAAAACTGTATCCTCTATCAACTGGGAAAGTACAACACATCACATAGGATGATCTGTGGCTTCCATCCGCAAGCATGCACAACTCTCAAAGGGGAAGGCAGACGTGGAAGGAACACTCCAAAGGGCAAACTGCATCCATCAGAAAACTCAACTATATTTGTAACATAGGCTACTTCTGCACCAGACATATAAAGTATGATTACACCACCTTAACATTTGGTCCTTCCTACAAAGGGCTCTGGGAACTACAGTTTGTTTAGGATGCTGAGAGCTGCTTTCCTCCTTTGCAGAGGTATAATACTCACAACTCCCTGGGAAGAGGGACTGGCTGTTAAACCACTCTGGGAATTGTAACTCTGGTTCCCAGGATTCTTTGGAAGAAGTCATATAAAAGATGTTTAGTATGGTGCAGATATGGCCTCCGTGACTATATGTCTTCAGTATAAAGAAACGCTTGCTTCTCCATAGCAAGTTTCCTCAATTTAAGCTTCTTTCAAAGAGACTGATGTGGTTGTTCTACCTAAGTACTTGAAAAGGCACAAGTACTGATTTAGGGAGGCTAGGTATTACATGGACACAAACAAGTGCTCCAGACTTCTCATAAACACTGACATTTGCTGAGATACATGTGTCGTGAAAGGGCAGGGCTTCAATCTTTTTACTAGAGCAGTGTTAACTACTACTACGATTTAAAGTTGACTGAACAAACACACTGACCCCTCACCTTTCACAGGGGAGGGAGAGAGAGAGTCAAAAGGCAGAGATTTCCAAGATACCAGGCAGCCAATACAATCAGCCTTCTTCATAAATATTCAGTAGCAAGGCATTGGCCAACACGTTCCTAAGCCAAGACAACTATGTTGAAATGAGCAACTAGGTATGCCCCACTTCAGAAGCTGTGTTAGAAACTCAGATATATAAGCTAGGCACCAAGTGGCTCCTTAAACCAAGGTTACAAAATGCACCCGGAGCCTGTCTAATTTTGAACACTGTTCATAATAACCAAGGCTAAGGAATGGGAAATGACCTGGGGCAGTTACCTTCCAGAGGAGGAACACCAACCCAAATTGCCCCTGTCCCTCCTTGCATCATAGAACTGCAAAAAAATTCCAGGAACTGAGGGAGACCTTCCTTGGAATAAAAGGTGTAGGTAAAACTACAGTGGTACCTAAGGTTACATACACTTCAGGTTACATATGCTTCAGGTTACAGACTCCGCTAACCCAGAAATATTACCTCGGGTTAAGAACTTTGCTTCAAGATGAGAACAGAAATCGTGCAGCAACGGGAGGCCCCATTAACTAAAGTGGTGCTTCGGGTTAAGAACAGTTTCAGGTTAATAACAGACCTCCAGAACGAATTAAGTTCTTAACCTGAGGTGGTACCACTGTATACCGGGGAAGGGCAGTTGTCTGCCCCCGCCTTGGGAGTTGTTTTCTTGTGTGCACACAGGGTCCTCAAGCGAGCAGCAGCATTTTCCTCGCTCCAGCTGGAGTGCCCCTTTAAGGCACAGAGGCTCGCTGTCAGGACTGGAAGTATAAAATGATGCAGCCCTGCCCTACCACTGGAAAGCAGAAATGCCCCTCCCCTTCCAATCAGGAAGCTGGCTCGCTCCCCAAGGGTGTGACCACATGCCTTAGACGTTACTGAAGAGCTGCTGCCACTGGCACAGCTCAGCTGCTTTCCTATGTGGGTTAGGCCCACTTACAGGCTTCTGCCTACATCCCACTTCTTTTCCCCTAAAGGCAGCCAAGAAGCAATCTATTGGGGGGGGGGGAGAGACTATCAGAAGTACCTATTATACCACCCACGCTAGCATCATGCAGTCCCATGTTGTGCTGCTAGGCTCACTGTTATCCCTGCTTCCACCCGAACCCCATTAAAAGCAGCTAGTAGGATTCATGTGGAGTCTCATGAAAAATTCCCTGCCATACACAAACACAGCCACACACCACCTCCAATCCTGGAACCGACATCCACATTACGAGTATTGCTGCAGAGCGAGAACCTCGCCATCTTTTATGCACCCCAGAAAACTAAGTGAGGTACATAGCAATAGCAGCAATTATGAAATACAGGGATCGGGGCAATACACACAGAAGTAACCTTGTTAATAAACCCACAAGCCTACAAAAAAATGTTAATAGCGTGTGGGTGTCTTCCCTCCTCTGGCAGTCCAAGGGGCTTTTGTGATGGGCACAGAAGAGGGATGTTGTGACTCTCCCATTCACTTGCCTGCATGCAATTCCTTGTTGCCTATGACTACAGAAAAGAGTCAGGCAGACAATGGGTCCACTTGGAGAGAGACACCATCGAAAACATCCCCACAACAGCATACCCATTTCTCCAAAACAAACTGAAGAAAATCCCCACGACACAGGTTCACACAGAAGAAAAAAGTAGGCAAACTATCCCAGTCCCCCTTAACCCCCCTGGCCCATCACCCACATATTACAACACGCAGCACAAAACCTCCAGATAAAAACCTGGCACTATCTAAAAGACTTCTATGAAAACGAAAAATCCATACCAAAACAAGAAATACAAGCCAAACTAGGGGACACAGAAATACCTTGGCTACCACACCATCAACTACATGCCTTCTTAAACAATCCAGCAGTAAAATCAGCAGCGACTAGGCCCTTGATCACCTTCGAAAACCTTCTCCTGGCAGCAGAGGGACATGGCAAAGGGATGGTATCCACAATATACAAAATACTGCTCCAAAATCCCACAAACTCCCTTAACGCAATCAAAGAGCAATGGGAGCACGACATAGGCTATGAAATTAACTCCACCCAACAGACTAGAATGTGGTCTAAACCTCCCTTTAAATCCGTATCAGCCAAAAGAAGAGAACTCACTCTGAAACTCACCTACAGGTGGTACTTAACACCACGGAAACTGGCGCTGATATGCCCAGGAACCTCACTAAGATGTTGGAGAGGTTGCATCTCCACAGGCACATACCTCCACATGTGGTGGGAATGCCCTAAAATCCAACCCTTCTGGAAAGCAGTCCTACAAGAGATATGCATAATAACTAAACAGGTATTAGAACGCACCCCAGAACTGGCACTACTGAACATCTTCCAAGATCATAATGGCGACTCACATACAGAGCTTATATCCCACCTACTCTCAGCAGCCAGAAGCCCCATAGCCAGTCACTGGAGAGACCTGTCAGGAGTAAACATAGACCAATGGTATCAAATTGTATGAGAAAAGGCCTTACTAGAAAAGCTAACCGAAAAACTGAAACTGACACAGGGACAAATAGAAGAGGATGCCTTCACCCCAGTATGGCTCCCATTTATCACATACACAGCCCAACAAGACAAGAAGAACCCACTGACAGAATACGAATCAGTCTGGCTTACCCGACTCAACAAGCCTTCTCCCCACCTCACAAATGCAAACAAACCCCACTGCAGCCAACCATAGCCACTAACCACACCCTGCCCCCCAATACCTCTCACTACCAAGGAAATGTAATAAACAAATAGAAAGAGAACCTATCCAGTTGACGCTGACACAAAACCCCACACGTACACTACAGTGGTGCCTCGCAAGACGAAATTAATTCGTTCCGCAAGTCTCTTCGTCTTGCGAGTTTTTCGTCTTGCGATGCACGGTTTCCCATAGGAATGCATTGAAAATCAATTCATGCGTTCCTAGGTAAACCGCCTTCAGACCAGGTCCGGGGACAGTCTGTCCCCGGACCTCTTCTGAAGGCTGGGGGGGGGGCAAGGGCTTTTCTTCCCACCCCCAGCATTTTAAAACCCCGGGACAGCGGAGGACTTCTCCGCTGTCCGGGCGATCTTAAAATGCTGGCGGGCGGCATTTTAAAATCACCCCGGGACAGCGGAGGACTTCTCCGCTGTCCGGGGCAATTTAAAGCCCCTGGGAAGGCAGGCAGGGGGACAAAGACTTTGCCCCCGCCAGCCTTCAGAAGAGGTCCTGGACCTCTTCTGAAGGCGGGCGGGGGCGAAGTCTTGCTCCCCGCCTTCAAAAGCCCTCCGGGACAGGCAGGCAGGGGAGCAAAGACTTCGCCCCCGCCCGCCTTCAGAAGGTCTTCCCTCCCCCCGCCCGGCCCGGAGCACCGTTCCGAGCCGGGCGGCGGCGGAGGTCTTCCCTCCCCCGCCCGGCCGGAGCACCGTTCCGAGCCGGGCGGCGGCGGAGGTGTTCCCTCCCCCGCCCGGCTCGGAGCACCGTTCCGGGCCGGGCGGCGGGGAGGTCTTCCCTCCCCCGCCCGGCCGGGCACCGTTCCGAGGCCGGGCGGCGGCGGCAGGTGTTCCCTCCCCCCGCCCGGCCCGGAGCACCGTTCCGAGCCGGGCGGCGGCGGCAGGTGTTCCCTCCCCCGCCCGGCCGGAGGAGCCTTCCGAGCCCGGCGGCGGCGGGAGGAGGTGTCCCCGCCCCGCCGCCAGGCTTCGGAGGAGGTCCGAGGACAGTGGGAAGACGCGCTGCGCTTCCCGCTGTCCCTGAGATTTCCCTATGGGCTGTCGTCTTGCGAGCAAGCCCATAGGGAAATTCGTTTTGCGAAGCGCCTCCAAAACGGAAAACCCTTTCGTCTAGCGGGTTTTCCGTCTTGCGAGGCGTTCGTCTTGCGGGGTACCACTGTATATAAAAGAATATAAGCCTCATCACACCACCCCTCTTCTTCCCCAACCTTATACTGTACTCAACACAATTGTCTCACAATAAATGTAACTGATTTGTAAGAAAGGCAAATCTTTAATAAAAATAAATTTAAATGGGAGGGGGGAGAGAAAAGAGTCGGACAGGAGCTGTCAGAACTGGATTGCATGATTCCACCATTCACAAAGCAGTGCAAGCCCAGCAGCGGCACAGAATATGAGGACACTTTGCCACCCCTGTCTCCCTGCCCCAGGCCAGAACGTTAATCCTCTAAAGACTTCTGTCAATATGAGGCTGGAAAGCCATTTCAACTGCCAGGACTTCCAGGGAAGGCAGACACCACAGCCTGGCCCCACCACACACAAGGGACTATGCAGTCCTAGAAAGCAGACTTTGCTACCAGTACATGCAGATTTGCTGCAGGCGAAGGGGCCATGCAATTGTAGTATAACAGAGAAGGCTTCTGTAAAACAAGAAAATCCTTAATAAAATATTTAAAAAAAAAAAAAAAAAAAAAAAAAAATAACAGAGAAGGCTTTGAGGGGGGAGGGCAAGCTCATAGGCCCTTGTCAGGGTGCAGCTTCCCTTCATATCAGGTCACAAAATCCCTGCCTGCATTAAGAGGAGCCGCTTCCAATCAAAGAGGAAGGCCACTTTCTAACCAGCCTCTTAAGCCCCTTCCTTGGAGGAAGAGAGCAGTTTTCTAAGGGTCAGCAGGATAAAGACCGCCTAGAGGGAACAAAGGCCCTTTATCGCCATTTCCAGGTGGCAGTCAAAGCAACACCAGCAGATTTGTTTTTAATCATGCTCTCAGGCCCTCTGCTCATGAAATCTGCCACAATGGCTGTGCCCAATACCAGAAATAGCCATTCAAGTTACACTTTCCAGTTTTTCCAAGCACAGCAGAGGGGAACAGTGGCACAAACTCTTGCAAGATTGGTGCCACAGTATCTTAAACAGCAGAGAGAACAAATTTTGGGTGGGTGGGGGAGACTCCCATGGAAATCACGCAGCGTTGTTCAAAATCACAGTAAAGCAACTTGTGCTCCAAAGTACTGCCAGGGTTAGGCTGGTACACCAAGGCCAAGAGTTTTGTACTATTCTAAAACAGGACTAGGGAACCTGTGGTCCTCAAGACATTGGTGGACAACAACTCCCATCACGTTTAACCACTGAGCATGCTGCCTGGGGCTAATGGGTGTTGGCATCCAACAAGACTTGAAGGACCATCAATTCCTCACTACTGCTTTATGGTGCCATGACGCCTTTTGATTCCAGCAAATAGCTAGGTGTAAGTCACATGAGCGAAAAGCCACATACATAAACTGAAATGCGAGCATCTATGTTTAACTACAGCAAGCTTTGTTTAGCTTCCCCTGTATTCACCTTGTCTATACAGTGGTGCCTCGCAAGACGAAATTAATCCGTTCCGCGAGAGTCTTCGTCTAGCGGTTTTTTCGTCTTGCGAAGCAAGCCCATTGACGGATTAGTGCTATTAGCGCTATTAGCGGTTTAGCGGCTATTAAAGGCTTAAAGGCTTAGGGGATTAGCTGCTAAAAGGCTATTAAAGGCTATTAAAGGCTTAGCAGATTAGATAAAGGGGGGGAAAAGCGAAAAAAAATCTCAAGACTCGCAAGGTATTTTCGTCTTGCGAAGCAAGCCCATAGGGGAATTCGTCCTGCGAAGCAACTTCAAAACGGAAAACCCTTTCGTCTAGCGGTTTTTCCGTCTTGCGAGGCATTCGTCTTGCGGGGCACCACTGTACTACTAGATCTTTCCATTATCAAACCACAGAATCATATGCAACAAGCTTAGTACTAGAACCTTTTGTACAACCTTAAATCTTCTACAGCAGAGAGCATGGGCAGGGCGATGCCTGTAAGCTTGCAGATACATGCAAATCATGGAATTTGGCATGAAAGCAAAAGCCAAAATGAATTCATTAGTTTAAAGCACCAAAAGGTTTTGCTTTTGCTTAAACACAGATTAAACAAACTCAGTTACCCCTCTTGTTGGGTATTCCATTGTTGGGTATTCCATTCCACCCATAATGGGTGTTCCATTATGACTGTTAAGTCATATCAGCACATTAAAAATGTTAAGGATCACCAACAGACCACAATAATATTTAGATACATTGGAACAATTTGTTCATACATGCATGCATAGCCTACACTAGACCATGTAGTGCTAACAGAGTTTAGGTCAAAGTTATGAGTGCATCATTTCAAAATTAGTTCATGTTTTCCACATGAACTACATACACTTATTTTTGGAAAATTATTCTATGCCATCTAGAAGGAACAGGAAATTAAAGACGAAAAGAGCAAAAAAAGAAGGGGGTTATTTTAACGCTATATTTGTGTCCTATCTGAACTGGAAAGTGTGCAAACCTAGGAAGAGAAGATGGGTGAGGAAAAGGGGAATTAACTAGCACTGCAGCTTCAAGGACTATTTAGAACACTTCCCGTACTAATATAGAACTGACAAATTATCTAGGAACTGGAGCACCTCTAGACCTAAATATAGCTCTAGAGCAAGCTGGCATCCTCAAGCACCTGAATTTGAGAGCCACTATCATGTTGACATGATTAACTCAGAGGGGTATAATAATCTGAGCCAATTTTGCATCTGAAGATTTCAGGCAACACCTAAAAGTATCTGAGATTAAAAACAGCCAATTAGTAACACAGAAAAGCTTGCCTGCCCTCAAGTGATTAGGGTACTTAACTACATCTGTACGGTCCAATTCCCAATTGCTCTCACAGCAAATGGCTCTATATATTCTCTGCAGCATTAAAATGACCATCTCATTCCTTGGTCAGCACAGACTGACCAATACAACACTGGCTATATCAGTCTGTTACATGCCACCCACTCGTCAGACAATGGGTCAATACAATGGTTCAGGGAGGGGAAACCCACTTCACACACACTTTCATTCATGGGATAAAATCACTATACTGTACAGAGGAAAGTAAATGTGTAAGCAATCTTTAGTATGAAAGGGTCAAAACTAATGCATTGGGCTCTATTATACAGCTAACATCTTTCAGGAGCAGCAGGGCAGCTTGTTTGCAACTGCCCAGCCGTACTGCTTGCCGGCACTGCTCCCAGTTTCTTTTACTGACAGACCCTCACTACTCATCCAGCCTTTTCACCCTTTGGAGGTTTCTAAAGGGAAGAAGGGGGGCCCAGAGAAGCAAAGATTCAAGGTCTTCCAAGAAAGCACAATCCACATCATTAATCAGGCTGCCAGACAGACAGAGGAACATTCAGCACTGCAGGGAAGACACAGGGTTTTGCCACCAGGGAAATTTGCTGCTGATGAGAGGCAAGAACAGAAGCTCCTCACACGAATGGTCCCCAAGGCTGAGCCACTAATTCACTTTGGCAGAAGGTTCCATCTGAACGAACTGGAGATCCCATTAGCCTTAGAGCTAATGCACTCTGCTGCAGTGAGGGAGAAAGGGATCAGTGGGGAGTTTGGATTTATCCTTTTTACATGCACAATTGAGCCAGGGGATGCAGGAAGCCATTGATTGCCAGATCATGTAACTCTTGCTGGTTTTGACCACATCTGTTAACATTTTGTACAGAATTGAAAAGACTTTGTTGCTAAAACATTCGCAGCCTTTAAATCCTGATACAGAACTCTTTCACAAACTAGCATTTCATAACCTCCAAGCATTGGTTAGCTTTGCTTGAGTGCTCTGAAGTTCTCATACTGGTGGAGAATTAGGCACATTTACGCGCTGTGCAACGTTCATTTGCCACGATGTGTTAGCTGATAGTACAAGTTTGCTAAGCTGCAGCATACACAAGCACTCACCATGGAAACAGAGTAGCAAATATTGACCAGAGTAAAGGCATGACAGGAGTCCTGGCTTTTACTGGTACTGCTACAGTGCCAACCTAAAACATTAGGAAGCCCAAAGCCAGTAGATCACTGGTGCTGAAAGGTCAGAGTTGTGTGTTAGATGAGCTCTGAATGCTGGAACTGAGAAAGTGAAGACCAAGCTGGCAGGACCCCTTACAGAACAGCGCCACAAGATTGGCAAAGCAGCTGAAGCAATCCAGTGTAAAGTAGGTAGATAGACTGGATAACTTGTAGCACACTGGCAGCTAGATCACTTATCAAAGATCCACTAATCACTGCTTGACTGTAGTCACTGAAATCCTTAATTACAATTCCTTTATTTCACCCACAGCCTGCCGATAAGAAAAAAACAACCCCATACATTCCCTAAAGCAGAAGAGAGTCATCTTCCTTGCTGAGTTTTTTTCATACAGAATGGCTACATCAAGGATAAAGCTTCTGCTTCCAGCATATTCCTGATGTGGTTCACTGAGCATCAAGACTGACCAGATTTCAGTCCCCCGGGACTCTCTGACCCAGGGGCCAATCTTGGCATTCTGGACTTCCCCATTTGGACAGTGAGGCCACCTTGGGCAAGCCACTCTTATGTACCTTACCCCACATGAGTAGGGACAGGGCTTAGCCAAAAGGGTGAGGTCTTGTCATAGTCTGCTTAAGCAGCTTCCGAAGTGCCCAACAACCAGCTGGTTGTCAGGAATCGGAAGCCCTGCACAAAGCAGGATCATCTTCCAACATTGGTTTGCAGTGAAATAAGCTGCTGAAATGAAGTGGGAAGGGAACCTTGCTTTTCGCATCACCTTTCTGCCTGCTAGTTCTCCAGACATCATTTGTGACTGTGAAATGTGGCCTGTAGAGCCAAAAAGGTCCCCACCCTAAACCAAATCTTGGCTGATTAGTTGCAGCCTATAAGAGGAAGCCTACTGTGCAACCAGGCTGATTCAGGAAATGTAGCTAAGATTTAGTGCACTCTCAGAAAGGATGCAGACAAAATACATGTTGCATCTAAGCCATTACAGACATAGAATTACTGTTAGAAGGAATATTGTTTTACAGCCTTTTTGTAATTTATATTCTTATAACTGTTTGCAGGACTGAGAAGTTGGCACTAGATTTACACACACACCTTACAGATAAGGTATGACTAACTTGTGCAGATAACATTGTGTCTCCCACTCTCAACACCTCTGTTACTAGTGGACGCTTAGACAACAGAATACTCCGTAACAACAGAGTCCAGGTCTGTGGGTGCCCATCCAGCATCTCTTGGTCTTTCCAGAAGACTGCTAGAAGAATAGATCAGCCATTTTACCTCGAAAACATTTTATCAGTGTCATTAATCCAATGTCAAAAAGTGATACAGCCCTACCTATGGCAACAAAGCCCTACAAATGTATAGTGGTCAAATTAGTCCTCTGCATCCAGTGACTTTTAGCCACAAATATGATCATGCCGCCATAAATACGTACCCTATTATCAATCACATTTTGCTATGGAATTAACATTAGCTGCATAGCATGCTGTTGGTCCATAGGATATGCATTTCATCCACATCTCAATGTGAAGGTAATTAGTCCCAATGTTTCAATCCAGCCCCTTTGTAAGGTTCTATAAGCAGAGCCAACATGAAGTATATACCATGGAGAGAACAGGCTCAAATAAAGGTTTTGTTAATAAAACAGTTTGAGTAGTGACCTTTTTTAGTGATTGCGATATGAACGATCACCCACACCAGGGCTTAATATAAAAAGGAGAGATGCTCTTCAAGCCTGTAGAGCGTTCACATTAAGACTGCTGAGCTAGAACTCCCATCAGCCCTAAGCAGCATGGTCAGAGGTGACAGGAGTCCAACAACACCTGGATAGCACCACATTGGCTTCCTCTGTGCTAAACCTAGAAACAGAAATATATCAACTCAGTCATGGATGAAATGGTACTCTCTGTACAACACTGAGTCTCCCTTACTTCAGGGGGGAAACCAGTGTCAAAATGCCAAGTTTTAGCTCAAATAAAGCCCTGAGCCATACTCAAGCTCACCCATACTCTCTCATACAGCAACTTTCTCAAAGGCCTTGTGTGACATTTCATGTCATGAGACACCAAGCAGGCACTTAGAAAAATAACGTTAACACACTTGCTGCAGGCTTGACTTGAAGGAAATTGCTGAGGAAAAAATAAAGCTCCTATGGAGGAAAGACCAGGAAGTTGTGAAGGCCAGGACGCCTACCCAAGCAGCTATAGAGCAGGTAGAGATACACTTTACGTCTATTCCAACAAAACAGACAAAGAAACAAAAGCAGTTTATAATGGGAACTGGTCACTTATTATAAAGGAAGGCAGGAACAAGAAATCTGGGTATGAACAGAGTAAAAAAAGATCCAGGATTAGCCAGCAGAAAGGGAAGTTTATTCCCTCCCGCACCCCATGCCAGCAGGTGCCTACATGGCAGCACTAACAGGCACGGGAGACTATTAAGCGATGGAGATATTTAACTTGATCTAAGTAATAACAGAATAAGGAGGAGACGAAGTTAGCTGCGGAGCTCAATGGACGGCACCCCAACCGAGATATTAAAGGGAGCGCGCAGAGGTCGCCCATTCATAACGCAAACCGGCCCTGAGGGGTGCGACTCCCACTAGGGCGGAAGGGAAACCAAAAAACCACCCCGGAGAGCGGCGGGCGACCATCATCGCCAAAGCCAAGGAGGGTGGGGTGCAGAAGCCGGATGGGGCGGGGGGGAAATTCGGGAGAAAAGGAGGCTCCCAGGCACTGCAGCAGCAGCCCGTCAAAAACCCGAGAAGTCCCGACCTCAGCCGCAGCCCCCTTGCCCAGTGCCGGCCTCTACCTTGCGCCGGTGCCGCTGCTCCTGCTATTTCTGCCGCCACCGGTGACAAACGCCGCCCGCCACCGCCCAGATCCACCCCGCGCGCGCGCCCCCGCCCCCACACTTCCGCGATGCTCCCTTGGCGTCACTTCCTTCCACCGGCAGGCAGGCTATCCCGGCTGCCACCCGCCCTCCGCGGAGACGTCACGTCCGCTGAGCGGGCCTCGCATTGGCTTCTAAAGCGGAGGCGGGAAAAGGGAGCCGAGCCCGATCATAGAGAGCGCCCCAACTCCTAGAGTATCTATATATAGAGAGATAGGGAGACGGGAAAAGAGGGCGGGGGGAAGTTCACCTTTTCCCCGCCCGGCGGCCATCTTGGGGTTGGGATGGCGGACTTTTGTCTCCTGGGCGCCGGGCGGATGACGCTCTTCCATTGTGTGGAGAGAAGGAAGTCGAGGCTTTAGGGTCCGAGGCCTTTTCTTCTAGCGCTGGAGGAAGGCAGAGGAGGAGGAGGAGGAGGAAGGGGACGGTGGCGAGGAGACTGTGAGCGGAAGGCTCCCCTCCTCTTCACTGCCATCAGGTTTTTGCAGCAGCGGCAAACGTTGAGTTCCCTCATCCACACCACGTTAAGTGACCATCGCACCCTTCCATTGTTCCTCCTATACATTTACAGCTAACAGGAATTGTTTCTGCCACCTCCCCACAGCCTGGCTTTTAAATGTTATGCCCGTATTGCCCCCACTCCATTCCTTCCCCCGTCCTTGTTTGGCGAGCCTCGCTTCCTCATAAACGTAAGTATACTTAGGATTTTAGCGGTAAACACAGGGCATCTCAGCAGAGGATTACTTCTCACCGCCATCAAATAAAAACTTTAAATTGTTTCACGCGGAGTTGACGTGCAAGAATACGATACACGGATGTGGAAATGCCGTTCAGCTTTTTGGGTAAACACATAAGAGCGGACCACTGAACAGTTAGGAACTATTAGGCGTAAGCTTTCTTACGCTTTCTTAAATACAGCCTGCGTTTATGAAGGCATGATCCATTCAAGCGAGTGTTGGGCACACATAGAGAACACTGAGAACTGCTGCCCGATTAAACTATGCCAATAGATTTTTATTAATTTGCACTACATGAACTGTGTGCCCACCCATAAACAAGTCCAAATCAGGCAATAGCCCACCACCTCATTAAATTTGTTTTTCAAGGAACAACAAACTTAATCCCTATGGTATTTAAAATACTGTAATCCTAACAAACAAAATGCAGTTCTTGCAACTACTAAAACGTAGTGTAGCATAGTGGTGTTCTATAGATGTTTAGCTGCAACTTTAAAATGTACCTGGAAAGGGCAGTAACTCTTTGCTAAGTATGCACATGTGCAGCATGTATTAAAACAATTGTTAAGTACCGTATATTCCCTATTAATTCTGTAGTGTGGGGCTTTCCTCCATTGCCCTTCAGCATATTGCTAAACAGAACCAAAATGGAGTTAAGGGTCAAGAATCTCAAAAAAGCTGGTACTATTCTGAAATGAGAAACTAGTCTTTTATAAAATGAATATCAGTTTAAGCAAAGGCTCTACTATACATACACAACAGTCCCCATTAAATGGGATGCAGGGAACTGATGTATTTGTATATAAAGTTTTTTAAATATATATATATATAGCCTCGATGCAATTGAGCATTAATGTTCTAGGCAGGGTATAATTTCAACTAGCTATGAATACAAAACAGAATGCACACAAGTATCTGGAAATAAGTTGAAAACTTGTTCTTAAAAATATAATTAACACAACCTTCTATGACTATCTGAATTTTATACAGAAAAGTTATTTTTCCTCATTACTTTAAAACGGGAATGGCTAACTATGACTACTAGTCATGTTGGCTCTGGTTAGATAAAGAGCTGGGAGTTCAAAATCGGGAAGGTTACTATTCCCATACCCCCTTCCAGTCATATTTTCTACACCAGTGAATCACCGCATCCATCATCACCGCATGCCTTAACTTAGCCAATGCCAAGTTTTCCCAACTGAAATTTTCACCCAGCATTTAGTATCATAATAGGTATTTATGGAGATTAGTTTGATCTTGACAATTCGTTGCACATAATTAGTGACAGATCACAATGTCTAGCAAGTATCTACACTTCTTGTATGCAAAGCTTTCCCCTTTTGGTTTTGTTAAATGTTTTTCCTTAAATAGAAATGCAATGATCAAAGATACTTCTGTAATTTTGGTACTGTTTCAGATTCATGCGTTCCTACTCTCACCTCCAGCATTAGGAAGCTGTGGTGCTGAAGTGAAAGTGTGCCAAAAACCTTGAAGACACAGATTCTTTCATATCTGAAGCTGATAACTGGTGGGGAGAGAGAAACCTGTATCCTTGGGTGGTGGCACTGGTACAAAGTCTATGAATGGCTTGAGGTTAATGCCCACCAAACATAGAAGATAAAGATCCCCTTCACCCCACCACAATATTACAATATGTACTCTGCCTTCCGATCTCACAAGACCTGGAAATGACTACAGTATATTATAACCCACTATATCAGCAGTAGTGAAAAAAGACCATAATAAATGCCACCAAACAGATGTACTTGAAATAAGAATTCAATAGGGAATTGCAAGTTGAAAGACTAAATCTTTACTTGGCATGTTGGAGTCACTGAGTTTTCACAGCAACTTATTTTACAGTAAAAATACTGAGGTGGGACCAGCACTGAACTTTGGAATCAAGTGTTAAATACAAAAACGACTTTAACAAGAAATTTACTCCCTCTCATGACCACTGGAGACCACCATCCTCTCCTTGCGAAAGCAGTCACACCGGTTGGCTTTAGCACAGACGAAGAAGAGTCAGCACACAGGAGATGGGGAATATACAGTTTACAAGCCCATACGGAGGCAGAGTGGAGAGAGACCTGAGAGAACAGAATCCCTCCCCTTAGGAAGGGCAATCAGCACCAACTCTTTTGCTAGGGGCCTGCAGTCAGACACCTGCTCCTCTACCCGTCTTGGCTTCTGCAGCCCCAAGACTAGGTTCCAGCTGCAACAGGAAGCAGACATTTACAGCTCTAGACACATTTCTATTTTATTACTGCCAAGGTGAAAAAGCCATCTTGGCCCAACAGGCAACCAGTAAAATTTTTCCCAAAAATAACTCGGTACAAAACAGATCTGTCTCAGAATTTAAAAAAAAGAGAGAAAGAAAACTTTACATGAGTTTGAAACCTATTCCAGAACATAAAAGTAAAACAAATTCCATTCTTGATATTAGTAGCCGCTGCCGCCATCCACCCTTCTTCTCCCACTGGGGAACATGGAATGAGATGTCTGCAGTCCTTCCCATGCACAAGATGCGCCAACAGCTTTAACTGGTGTCCATCTAAGAGAAAGAAAACAGTTTTAGTTGGCTGCCACCAGCTAAGTACCAAGACAAGAAATCCAGATAGTCAAGGGCACTTCCCCAAGCAGCACAGTACAACCAGAACCTGTGCAGTACTGTTTAACCATAACAAAATGCTTTTAAATAGCTTTTCGCTGCATCATTAATTTCTGTGCATGTAGGCAAAGTTATTTAGCCAAGAACATACATCTTTATACCTCAGTGCTGAGGAAAATAATTCTCTAATACATTCTCACTAACAGCAGAAAGTGAATAGAGTTCACAACAGCCTTTCCCAACTGGTGCCCTCCAGATGTTTTGGACTACAACTACCAGCACGGCCAACAATCAAGGATGATGAGACACTTAGTCCAGCAACATGTGAAGTGCAGCAGTTTGGGGAAGGCTGCAAACATGGCATGTACATAAATCTCCACTCAAAACTGCAAGCAGTTACAGAATACTAGAGAAAACTTAAAATCTGCATCCAAGTTGTATTTTGTACTCAGGAAACAAATGGCAGAATCACAATTAGCTGGCCTCTTCTATTAACTAGCATGTACTTTACAGTCCTGCATATTTAAATTTAGGTTTGGTTCTTGGATTTCAGTTCCAAGTAATGACTCATGATGGTAGCAGGAAGATGGCATGCAGCAAAGTCTACCCAGATTGACTTCTTTACACGGCAGAAGTGTTAATAAAGAACACCATCCATCCCTGAGCAGCTGTGAAAATAGGATTGTGCAGCATGACTATGAAACATGCCTAGAGCATGACAGCTGATATAGCACAGCAGAACGTGATACACTCCACAACCACAGGCTGTGTCCTATCAAAGATACCAAATCTAGTGAGTCACCAAATTCACCAGACTGAGTAGCACTCCACAAGAATCATAGTTTGCTACACTGTAGGAACTGACTCCACAGTTACGCAGCTAATTCTTGCGCACACAGGAGGGAACACATGGAAATCACTTGGAAACTAAACAAAAAAACTACAGACTGCTCTGCTTTAGTGCTGTGCTATCTCCAAATGTCTTACTTTATGTGAAGTTGCATTTTTTCTCACAGATGACTAATGCATGTATGCCAGGCTCTGCCATCAGGCTCACCTCCCTCTCCCCACTGCCATCCACCATCCCTCAACTATTACTTACCCTGGCATTGTAAGCATCCAACTGTGCATCCAATTCTTCTGCAGAGAGCTGCTGTTTGGAACTCCTGCCAGCACCTCTACCTCTGCCCCTGTTGCCACGGCTGCCTCGTCTGCTGCCACCGCCAAAGCCACCCGAACCACCACGGTTTCTGGTCACGCCTCCTCTATTTACACTAAAAGCAAGAGATAAGACTGAATTACAGCAACCTACAAATAGAAACTGCATTACAGTAACCCACTGAAATAAATTTCAATCTACACCCTTCACAAAGAACTTCGTAGAGAAGCAGAGTATGGTAATGTTAACATAACTACAATTTAAAAATCATGCTCCATGTTGTAAAATGACAGTGGGAAGTCCATCTATTATTTAATCTCTGGGAATCAAAAGTACAAATGAACAGGGTCTGCACTAAAATTGGAGACATCCATATAGTTTATTAATCAATGTGAAACATCAAAAGACAAATCTCCTACCTCTGTATTGGTCTCCTCTGTGTATCTATCTGTGATGTAACCAACTGGATGTTCATGGGACGTCCTAGGAAAAATAAAAAGAACAAGTGTTTACGGCAACCTTGTAAGCAAGTTCATAAAAATTGCTGACCTGCAAAAAATATATCGGTCTGCTGACCAGAGAGTGAGGCAGGATAGAATTTTTCATCCTTCCTTCACCTGCCTGCTCACTTACCAGCATAAAATTCCATGCACTTGGTCAGCATATTACTGTCGCGTATGTGTATGAGCAGAGTTCTCATTCATACCTTCTCCCACCCACTGAGTAAATAGCTAGGTGAACATAAAATACATACCATCCAGGGGAACTCCGTTGTACTGTTTCATAGCCTTCAGTGCATCTGCCTTTCTCTCAAAATGGACATCTGCTGTACCTAGACTACGCCCAGAACGGTCATAGTGCACTGCTGCCTTCTTCAATGTCCCAAATTCTGCAAAAAGCTCCTAGAAAGCGAGAAAGCAGTATCTCACATATGCTAGGACACAGTAAGAGATTCTTGCAAAATATTAATAATAGATGGGCCAAAGAATAGAACAGCAGACCTTTCTGTTCTCCATGACATTTTGCTTTTTATTGTAGCCTCATCGGAAGCAGTAACAAAGTCTAAACTGCATTTAATTCCTTATTTTATAATTACATTTATATTCCACCTTTCCACTGAGGACAAAGGGAGCACGTGTATTTCTCTTCCTCCCCGTTTTATCATCACACATCAACTTATGAGGTAGGTTAGGCTGAGACAGTGACTGGTCCAAAGTCATCCAGTACGCTTCGTAGCAGAGTGCGAACCTGGTCCCCCAGGTCCTTGCCCAACACCCAGGTCCTTGCCCAAGCACTACACCTACACTGGCCATATCTGTGCACTACATCTCAGCTAATACATTAGGATATCCTTAGTTCAAATATAAAACAAAGTACAAAAACATTAAAGTTTCCAATACTTATATCTCCAAATTTCCTATAAAGAAAAAAATAGTTTTGCACCAGTACCTCAGATAGGATGCGATGGAAATTTGAAAGACAGTATACAGACCTGGATAATATGGCTAGAACAAATGCCATGAAATAAGCTTTTTAAAAGGCTCATTGGATTGAGGTCTCCTGTCAATCAAGAATTTCAAGAGGCACCTTTCTCTTAAGACAGTGTCCACATGACTTCAATTTCATAAATGCTTTTATATGTACTCAAAACAGGAGCACCAGAATATGCTAACTGAAGCTGCATGCCATCCCAAACTATGGGAGGGGGGCGGTTTAAGGGCAATTACTTATTGTCCCGTAACTGCTCTTTTCTGGAAACTTACTGTTGAAAAAGGGTGGGGAAATGTAGTAATGGGTCAGGGAAAAGTTAACACATTACACAAGGGAAATCTAGAACAGCAATAGGAAACTGCAACGTGAGTAAAATAACTAAACGACTAGCTACAACTATCCACTCCTCTTGGCTCCCTCATATTAAAGACAAGGAGAAAGTACCTGTATATCTGCATCCGATACTCCAAAATCCAGATTAGAGACGAGCAGCTTCCCGCCTGTCTCGACACCAGCCCCAGCACCGAAGCCACTCTCGAAGAGATCGTGTTGCCACTTTTCAGGGAGTTGCTTTGGCTGCGACGAGAGAGAAAACCCGATCAGCACAACGTAGCGTCCCACATAAACGGCGGCCCCATTGTTCTGCATTTCTACTCAACCCGGAGGCGGAGCGGGGAAAACCCCTTCATTTCCTCGCCCCGCTTGCCGTCAACAGGCGCTCCGAACTGGGCCTAGGCGCGCCGGGACCCCGAAGCAACTCCTCCCGCCCAACCCTCTTATCTCCGCGTGGGGGAGACCCCCCTCGACGCTCCCCGAAAGAGACAGAACAAGTCCCGAGTCGCCAGGTTCCCCAAGAAAGTTCACAAAGCAAGCGGCCGGAGCCCAGTTCCACCCCGGGTAAAGGGGGGGCTCCGTCCGCGCCCGCTCGCCCAGGGACCTACCCGGCTGTAGGGCGCAGGCCTGTTCCTGCCGCCTCCCCGGGACAGGGCGCCTCTGTTCCGGACGGGGCCGCCCCCGCCTGCCCGCCCAGCTCCGCCTCGCCCGGCTCCGCCGCCTCGACCCGCAGCTCCCCTTCCGCGGCCTCGGCCGCCGCCGGCTCGGCCGCCGCCGCCCCGCTGGCTCCGGTTCAGCTTGATAATGTCGTCCAGAGACATATCCATTTTGTCGCCCATGATGGCGGCTCCCTCCGGCTCCCGGGGCCTACACTTCCGGCCGCGCTACACCGGGGGCCGGATGCGGATGAGGCGGGGAGGACGCGAAAGCCGAGCGAGACGAGGAGGAGGAGGAGGGTGGGGGCGGGGAGAGAGAGAAAGAGCGCGCACGTGCAGTCTCGGCTGGGCGAAAGAAAGAAGAGGTAGCAGCAGGCGCCGTTGTGGCGCGAGGCTTTATGGGAGCTGGGCCCGCAAGGAAACATGGGAAGTCCCGTCAAGGGGCGGGACTTCCGGTACAAGGGGAGGTGAGCTTGGGCGCGGCGGTTGGAGGTGCGACGGAGGGTTCCGTTGAGTTGGGTTTTTATCCTTGCTACCCCAGAGTCTGGCTGTTCTCCTCGTACCGCTCTACAGAGGGTTGGACTATGACCTTTGGGGTTCCCCTCCTATCAATGCTCCCTTACTGCGCATTACACCTGGAATTGGTTCCCAGGCCTTCTAAATACTCCTCTCTTCTGTGAGCTCGACCCCTTAGTCTGCACCCCCAACTGAAGCGAAACTTGTGTATTTGCATTTGCTCGCATTCATACTTTGCTTCCATCTCTACTTTCTGGTCTTTCTGTCGTTTCCCTGACTGCTGAAAGTTAAGACGGTATTCTCTTTGGAGCGGGTACTTTTATATGTCTTGTTCCTCTCTCTTGCTTTAGAACCTCATAAAATGATACAGAAGTGACAGTGGTGCAATATTTTTATTTAGACTGTTATAAGAATTCTGAGAATAAATCTTCATAAATGCACAAGGTAAACACACATATAGGGATGCGGGTGGCGCTGTGGGTAAAACCTCAGCGCCTAGGACTTGCCGATTGCATGGTCGGCGGTTCGAATCCCCACGGCGGGGTGCACTCCCGTCGTTCGGTCCCAGCGCCTGCCAACCTAGCAGTTCAAAAGCACCCCCGGGTGCAAGTAGATACATAGGGACCGCTTACCAGCGGGAAGGTAAACAGCGTTCCATGTGCGGCGCTGGTGCTGGCTCGCCAGATGCAGCTTGTCACGCTGGCCACGTGACCCGGAAGTGTCTGCGGACAGCGCTGGCTCCCGGCCTATAGAGTGAGATGAGCGCACAACCCTAGAGTCTGTCAAGACTGGCCCGTACGGGCAGGGGTACCTTTACCTTTAAACACACATATAAGTATATAAACCACATGTCTGAAATAGTACAGGAGAGCAATTCCTGAGGCCATCTTGACTCTTAATAACCCCAACTATTTCCTCTGCAGAAGGAAATAGATTGGAGAAGCGTTTGCCAGGAGTTCTTTTTGCTTACAAACCCTGTATTGACTGCACATTTGTGTATGAATAGGGTGGGCCTGTGAGCTAGATGCAAAAACCAAAGTACTAACCATTTCAAAAGAATGGCAAGATTGCCCAGGTAATGCAATCAGTAAAACATCACATATCCTGGAGAGAAGCCACACCCTCAAATTTCTGTGGTAGACAACCTCTTTCTGTGATGTGTGTTTGATGCTTTTAGAGTGGTCTTTGGCTAAGAGATTGGGCAATGTCTATTTAAAGGGATTTGCACACCTTTGTTCTGGGCCTCACCTCCTTGAAAGGAGAGGGGAACTGGTGCAACAGAAAAATAAAGATCTGCCAACCCCCAAATTTTTCTACAACAGAACTAAAGACAATGCCACAAAACTATTTGCTACAGATTGGATGTTAGGAGAATGGGAGAGGGGACCAAAAATATATTCAGGGGCATATTTTACTGGCCTGTTAGTTGTAGTACCTAAGGTAAAGTGAGGTAAGTAAAGGAAAATGTAGTCCTTTTAACAGTGCTGGAGATGTTATGTTTTTCTCTTTGCCTTTCAAAGAACTCAGGTGCTCCATTTATTTATTTCTATTTAATATCCTTAACTAATTAAGTTAAAATAACTTCTTTTCCTCTTCCCATTTTGTTTGTTAGCTTAGTAAGTTAAAATAACTTCTTTTCCTCTCCCCATTTTGTTTGTTAGCTTAATATCTAGCCTCAGAAAGAGTAATGGTGGACTCAAAAGCTCCCTTTCCCTATTTGATGTTTTAGAATGTACTCGTAAAGATACTACTGCTGCTTTTGGACAGACACGTTTACCTGCAAATTTTGTTTGCTAGAAAGCAGTGACAAAATATCAGAGCTAAATGTCTGCAGTCACCTGAACTGCTGCCCCCAAATCTTATGCCTAATAGACCTGTCTTAGTTTGGGACTTCACTAGGGAAATGGCAAGTAACATTTATGTAGCCATCTGCATTGTTGTGCTCATATCTGTAATAGCTCAGCCTTTCCTATAGTGGAGTTTTAAGATAACAGTACAGCATAGAACTGATAAGGCGGTACACCTAAGAATTGTCCTAGCACTCTTGTAAACTGAGAAAGTGGCCAAATGTTCTTATCTTGCTGTTCCCTATCTGTAAATTTGACATACTCTCGAGTCTTCTTCATAGTGTGAGGTGTTGTTGTTGTTGTTTAGTCATTTAGTCATGTCCAACTCTTTGTGACCCCATGGACCAGAGCACGCCAGGCACTCCTGTCTTCCACTGCCTCCCGCAGTTTGGTCAAACTCATGCTGGTAGCTTCGAGAACAGTGTGAGAATAGTGTGAGGCAGTCAAGGTATTTGAGAGAAATTGTGCAAAAACTCTTAACATCTTTAGAGAAACGTGAAGAATGTACAGTTCTGAAGATCGCAGTCTTTTTAACTTGGAAGATCTGCAGAAACAGAAAATGTCTTATTTGACCTTTTACTTCCTCAGGTGCTATCTTAAGCTTTGTACGTAGTCTGGACACAATGAAAGTGAAAATCAAGAGCTGGCATGGCGTTGCCTCTTGGCTCTGGGTTGCCAATGATGAGAACTGTGGCATTTGCCGGATGGCCTTTAATGGCTGCTGCCCAGACTGTGAGTATCAGTTCACTGGGATTTTCCTTAACCTTTGTGCACCATCTTATCCCAACTTTGCTCTAATGGAACCTATGTTTTGCAGGTAAAGTGCCTGGAGATGACTGTCCCCTAGTGTGGGGCCAGTGTTCCCACTGCTTCCACATGCATTGCATCCTCAAATGGCTTAACTCCCAGCAAGTCCAGCAACACTGTCCAATGTGTCGACAGGAATGGAAGTTCAAAGAGTGACACTGGCAAGATTTCTTCCTCTCCCCAACACCTCTTTGGCTTTTGTGGACTGATTTTTCCCCCCACTCCCTTCCCCAAGCTTGGCGAGCTTGCTACTTTATAATGCCACACTTACCTTCATCCTCCCCAGAGCTGCTGAAGAGAGAGGTGGATGTGGGAACACAGCTACTACATGTTACAATATCCTATGTTTTTTCCTCTGTGCTGTGATCACAAGGTCTCTACAATGTATGAAGTATAAGGCTATGCTGTTTGGAAGGTTAGAATATCAGACAGGCAAATGTCATGAGAGATTTGTGCTATTTTACAACATCTGAACCACCTCGTTAATGTTTATGTCTGTGTCTTGGTGAATTGCCTTGGTAATGCACATGAGGTGCTTGCAAATGAGGCCTGATTTCAGGGAGCTGCTTTGCTCAACTGCATGAAAGGTTAAGAAAGCTGTTCTAAATCTTCTTGTTAAACTTATACCCCAACTATTGTAGTCTCTTTAAAATTATTTGTAATTTATTTTTAATTATTGTTTAACAATAAGAACAGCAAACATCACCAACTATTGCATTCTGAGGCGTGAAGCAGTTAACCTCTTTTCTGTTCCTTACAAGTAGCACTTATATATGAACAAGGATTCTTGGTTTCCTGTTGCTATGTAGCCCCACTGATATCAGTATAGTTTGGTCCAGGATCTAAGCTTTTGAGTGTAAATAGTGTTAGAGATTGGGGGTTGCTCTAGGCTTGTGTCCTCGTCTTACTACACATTTGGCCTGCAGTACGATAATATGTTTGTTCCCAAAAGGCTGTAATACCAGATCTTTCTGATTGCCAAGTGCTTGCCCACAGTGAGTTACCATTTGTACATGGGATGGTTCCAGTAAATTTTGTGAGTCATTCCTTTAATGTTCCTGCCTCCTTCTTTCATCCGCATGGGGGTTCTTCAAGAGTGCAGTTTTCTTATCTGTGGCCAATGCAGTGAGGTGATCGGATGTGACCTGTGGGGAAGGGGGATGTCCTCATTCTTCTTAAAAGCTTAACTAAAATTACTTTTAATGGGAAAAATACTCTTGCACTAGCTTAGCTGTGTAGCCACACAGCCTACAGACCAGCTGTTTGTGATGCTTCATCCTGGCTGTTGGGTGCCCAGTCCTTTCTGCTGTGTATGCTACCCCCGCCTGCAATGTGTAATTGGCGCCCCTTTATGGCACCCAAATGAGAAGGTGGTGTTAGTAAACGGTTCCAATCTGTGACCTTTTGAACACAGAGCATGGTATTGCTAACAAAATGGTAAGCTTACTCTCCTAAAGGGAAAATTTCCAGAGGCAAAAAGTCTACCTCTCAGCGCCCCCAAAGCCCTCCCCAGCTTTGAGAGATGTGTCCTTTCAAAGCAACCCCGCTCCAAAACAGTGATAGACTCAAAACAACTTTTAAAAAGGCCACAGAATTTCACTTCAGTTAACCTATGTTCTACCTCAGTGTTTCTAAAATACAATGAGGCCCCACTTTTACACCCAAAAAAGTTTATTCTAGGGTGCAACAGGGTGAGAAGTGCCTGCCTGAAGTATAGCCTGCCCTTTGTGTTTTCTCGTGAGTCACTGTGTTGTATCTGTTTTGCAGATACACCTGCAATTTATGCAGGGGTTATGTTCTGGGGATCGCTCCTAAAGGCAAAGTCATATAGTCACAATGTGTTGGGTTCAGTGGCAGGTGGAACTGCCAGATATTTTTCTTGAGAGATATTTCCCCCTTTTTATTTTTATTATTGCCAAGTGTGTAGACCTGAATGGAAACAAGTTAAATGTGTGTAAGTTGTGGGCTTACTCTGTTAGATGAGGGCTAGCGCACAGCTGAAACTCATGCAGAGGCACAGTGGGCAACAGAAACCTCTGAGAATTCTCCCATATGTGAGGGAATGATCCAGCTACATCCAGATGCAGAGATGTTGCAGAATTTCCTATCGCCAGCAGTGGCTGGAAGGAAGCAATGCAAGAGCAGAGATGCCAATGTCACCCTCCTGTTTATTATTTAGACTCGGGAATATCTTAATTTATTTCTCATTATATCAAATTTGGTGATTACCGTTCAACCTGTTTATATAGTTACTACAAAAGCAAGAGTTACAGGATTATTGTGTCTAAAATTCTTCACTTTGTTCTCGGTCCCCCAAGAGTGCTGCAATGGTGCTGGTTGACTCCTTAGCTCCAGCTACTGGGGCCAGTGGTCAGGGATGATCAGAGTTGTAGTCCAGTGATACCTGGAGGACTACATTCTGTTTACCTGTTTTAAAGTATTTCACACTTAATGCTTTGTTGCAGGAAAGCCTTGGTAACTTGAAATTTGCTCTTTGTCCAATATATCAACTGAGGTGCCAAGTATGGTTCATGCTGTCATTTCAGTCTGCAGAAAGTGTTGGCGTTGTTACAAAGTATGTGTCTGAACCCAAATGCATGTCCAGCACTCACATGCATACACAAGAGGTTTAGGATCTTTTGCTAGAATTATGACATGTGTCTGTATGAATATGTGTTTTCTCCTAACCCCTTGCCCACAAAAAGTTCTTACACAAAAGACGTAAAGAAAACTCGGTTTATTGTTATATGAAATGAAAGTGACAGAAAATATATAGATGTTGCTTCAGACAGCAAAATTACAAATTAAGCAGGCAGCAAATTCTACAATACATACACACCTTGATCTAAAGAGTGAAAGAATCCCCAACGTTTCTCAAAATCCTTTAGAAAGTGAGTGTGACAGTTTTCCCACAGAACCCACACTAATAGTCAGGAAATGGAGGAGGAAGGATATGCCTGTCCTTAAGGGAAAGTGAGTGTGGGTTCCTTGAGAGTACTAAGTTCCTTGTCTGAGCTTGGAGAGCTAACTAACCATTGAAGACCCAATATTTTTGCACTAATTTTAGGCTATGCATTCTAATGGAGAAGGGGGGAAGGCTTTGAGATGAGCAATTCCTATACTTCCAGTCGTTCTATTATTTCTTCCCAGATTTTCCTGCCTCTTTCTCATTTTGTTTATACTGCTTAATGTAACACTGGAAGAATATAATCCTAGTAAGCAATGACTAAACTAGTTACCCTTGTTTGCTTCCTGTCTTACAGTTAATCTTATCATTTTATCTGTGGCACACCCATTCTTTAGCAGGTGTTGATTAGATTTTACTGGGGTGGTGCTGTGGGTTAAACCACAGTCCAAGTAGAATTTAGATAGCACCATGGTTCTCACCTTTTCAAACCAATCTGTAAAAAAAAATTATAAAAAGGGCACTTGTCCAAATTAGTCAATTTAACTCTATAAGGGATCATTCCTGCTAAATCAAGGCATATATACCTTCGTGTATCTGGTGTTTTCACGGATCCTGAAGCTTCTCCTTGGTAAAATCAGTTTTAACACATTTTAAAATCGGTAGGGAAGGTTGGTAGAGTGCAGAGTGCCAGGTGGGACAAGGAAATGTGGTCATAAATTGATCTAATCTAAATATTGGACTACACAATAGCCTGATCTATTAGAAAACATAAAATGCATGAGAATCCTCCATTGGGGTGTAAAGCAATAAGACACTATACATTAAACATAAAAACACACAAAAATTGGGTCACACACCCCCTTTGTGGAAATAACATATACTGTGAGAGATAGTTCGATGTTTCTGCATAATATCACACAACATAAAACATAATAATTATATATCAATTGCATGTCTTGAGGCCAATTCTTGCTGCTTTTACATATCTTTTCAAACCTAGGGCAGAGTCTTGAGGTCAAAAAAGAGAATGCCCTTGCAATTCAACTTCCCCCCTTTGTCAGCCCCCCACTCCCTGTCAGTCTATGTCCTTTGGAAAGAGATTGCTGTGGCCACTTTGAAAACTCTGGTGTCTGTTGTTGTTGCAGGTAATAAATAGTCTTGTGGTCATGAGGAATTGGGCTGAGGGTTTTCCATCATTGGGTCTGCATTAACATCTGTAGAAGGGATATCCTGTAAGGGGCAGGGTTTTCGGGACTTAAAAACACAGAGAATATCCTTGCGTTTTCTTGGGAAACTGCAAACAATAAAAAAATCTTAGAGTTAAGCATTTTATTCATTTCAATATTATCACCTTTTCATATAATTACTACTGTTATTTTCTCCTCAGTCTGTTTAATTTATTTCACTTAGTTTGGCTGTGGAAGAAACGAAGGGACAAAACTTTTGTTAATTTGGACACAATTGACAAGTTATTAAATATTTTCCTTATGCAGGTTTGAGTCTTCTTAGAGGTTTACGTATCCTGTTTGAAAGGGGAAATTATTTCATGTGAAAATCTCTGTCAGGAAATGCTGTTCCTAAAATGCATAGGTATATACACACAAAACAAAACCTATTATAAAATTCATTAAAACCCTTTTTTTCTTTTTAAAAGTAAAAACTACTCAAGAGACAAACTTATAGTAAGACTACTCTGATATTTATACTTGTGGAAAGAATTTGGCATGTTAGATTTGGAACTTGGCAACCTCTTGACTTTTGATGGTCCAGTACTTAACCCCTTTTGTTTTTCCTTAAGTAGCCCCTGGAGCAAAGGACACGTAAGGGTGATTTCCCTCAGTGGTTCCAAGTTTACATAAATAAAATTGAATAAATTTCTCCTTGCAGTCAGCTGTCTCCCCAAACCTCCTTTTTTTCCTTTTCCCTCTCTCTCCCCCCGCCTCTCCTTTAAGCTGACATAGCCTCTGTGCATGTGCAGAGTTCATGTTTCAGCAAATCTTTTATACCATTAAAAGTGTTGCATCTTTGGGCTAATTACCATTTGAATAAAGGAAGGGAAGGGTAAGGAATACATTTTAAAATAGGGTTAGATTTAAAACAAAAAGAGAAACCCAGCAATTCAAGTTTTCACCAATGCCAGCAATAGAAGTTGGTCAAATTAAATTTGTTAACTCAGTTCTAAGGAATCATGTTTCCTGCAGCCCAGGCAAAGGGAATTGGAAGTATCTGCCTCCTTTATGTACAGGAAATTAGGGTGCAGGGCTATCATTTTGTGTGCCCCCCCCCCGGTCATTCATGGAACAATCACTCACGCTCCCTTATGTATGGGTAAAAATGGCCAGAGTGTCAGATTTCCTAAGATCTTTAACATTCTCAGTCATTTCAGCCTTACCATTTGCAGACAGTTTTTTCTGCCCTTTATTTACAGGGGTGGTCAAGGCTCATTCTACTTGATTATGAATTTGTATGTGCTTAAACTCTGAATAGACTTTGAAGTCTGATTTTAAATAATAGACAAAATGGTAAAAACTGTTAGAGAATGACTCAAATGCTTGTTATCGCCAGCTCTGCTTCAAAACATCATGGCTTTCACCTCTCACCCTTTAAAACTCTCTACTGTATTCTAAACTCTGAAAACCAATCTTTCCATCTTTCTGTACCAAAAAGCAAAGCTGGGCTGAATTTCAACCCATCATCTTACACCAGAACTTAAGAATTACCCTCCAGTGCTTTCAGACACATTGCACATAGCCATAAATTGGGAGTTGGAAGGGACCCTGGGGTCACCTAGTCCAACCCTTTAAAATACAGGGTTCATAGCAATATTTGCACTACAGCAACCTTCCTGCCTCTTACAATCTGAATTCAGAGTTCCTACTGAATGCTTGAGGTCAATTTGTTCAGGACTTTTTTTCTGTGGGGTTTCAGACATGTGGTTTATATATTTATGTACGTGTTTGCTTGGTACATTTATGAACATTTATTACATATCTAAGACCTTAAAATATTTCTCTGCAAGGTCAAAGTGGGAAACATCCCCATTGTCTCTTTCCTCACAAATCCTGTCTTAAGGGCACATTTAAGATATGAATAGGGTGTGAGCCTGTGACCTGGCTCAGGAACTAAGTATTTATCATTACAAAAGACTGGCCAGGCTCCCCAGGGTATCCAATCAAGTAAGCATTAACAGGTAACCTGCCAGACAGGAGACAAACAACGCACTCAGATTTATTTTGATTGAGGTATGATGTGTCTGGGGGGTGGTCTTGAGCTACGCCCTTTCTGTGATGTATGTATGATGTTTCTGGGGGTGGTCTTGAACTCCAGGGCGGGCAATTTAAAATGTCTATATAAGGGCGGACACACCTGGGTTCTGGGTCCTCCTCCTCCTCCTGCGTGTGAAGGGGGCACCTGTTGCAACAGTTCAATAAAGATCCGGCTTACTAGCTGCTTTGCTTCTCAATAGTCTCTGGTTGGCCTCTGTTATTTTTCTCTGACCGATGGAGAACCTGCAAAGGACTCTACATGGGCTCTTGTGTATCCCATAAGGGAATAAGGGCAGATTTCCATTTATTACAGTAAACAGTTCCACCAATGGGGCACTGCCACAGAGTAGGCTCTGCCTTGCTGCTGCCCCATGGGCCATATCTATTTGTGGTATCTGTTAGGATATAGTTCCGTTCCACCTTAAAAGGGAACAGGCATGACTGTTGTGTGTCACATGCCTGTTTACTTCCAGCGCTTGCTGGGAACTTCCATTTGTATATAGCTGCTGTATTGCTGCTGTTTTGCTGGACACGAAGGGAAGCAGACATGTTTTTTCCTTTGTTCTTGCTGCTGAATAAAATGCTGTAATATGCTGCTTACATATGACTCTGTCTGCCTCTTCTGCTGTGAGATTTACACACTCTGCTGACAGAGCGTGCACGGGTCTCTAAAGGTATCTGAGGCTTGTGTTGCTGATTGATGCTGTTCCAAGGGAACCCAGTAATCATCTGGCAGCCGGCCGGTGGCTGGAGCCAGCTGGGGGCCTGCCTGATGCCCCCGTCTCCCCGGCAGTATCCCAACAGTATCACCAGCAGGGCCTCCCTGCTGATCTTAAAGCACAGGTTGGTCAGTGTTGAGAGAGATGATCTCAAGCCTATAGGACTTTGTACTTCAACTTGTTGAATTGGGTTTGAAACTCACAGGCAGGCCGTGCAATGTTTTCAAGACCATGGTCCTACCACATTTAATATCTGGCAGCTGCATTGATCCTCTGTTTGACCATAGTTTTGCCAGGCAATTGCTCTGTGGACTGGCAAAAGGAAATAAGTCTTTTCCATGCTACTCTTCCTTTGAGAAGCCTTGAACAGCTTGAGTGGTGATGATTCTATGTGGAAATTCAGTGTTAGCATGGCATTTAGATAAATTGGAAGGGTCTTGTGTTTTCAGGCTCTCTGAAGGTCAGTACAGAAATCTCTGCTTCATCATTCTCCTATCATGTATTTTCTGTATAACTAGCACCGCAAGAGCACCAAAAGGTTGAAAACTTGTATTTGTTTCCTAAACAAAAAGTAACTCATGAGAATTAGTTCTTTTGCAAAAAAAAATTTACATGCAGCCACTAAGGATGTGGTTTGAAGTGGAAGGATCCTGGTACAGTACTTTTTTCCTCAACATGGATAAAAGTGACTCAACAAGTGCTGATGTTTAGTTGGAATAGGACAAGACAGAGAAAGCTGCCTTGTCCTATACTAGGTAAAGGTAAAGGGACCCCTGACCATTAGGTCCAGTCGTGACCGACTCTGGGGTTGCAGCGCTCATCTCGCTTTATTGGCCGAGGGAGCCGGCGTTTGTCCGCAGACAGCTTCCGGGTCATGTGGCCAGCATGACTAAGCCACTTCTCACGAACCAGAGCAGTGCACGGAAACGCTGTTTACCTTCCTGCCATAGCGGTACCTATTTATCTACTTGCACTTTGACGTGCTTTCAAACTGCTAGGTTGGCAGGAACGGGCTGAGCAACGGGAGCTCACCCTGTCGTGGGGATTCGAACCGCAACCTTCTGATCGGCAAGTCCTAGGCTCTGTGGTTTAACCCACAGCGCCACCCGTGTCCCCTTAAACTTCAACCTTATCACGTGCATAATTTCTAGGAGAAAATAACAGTCAAGACTAAACAATGATCCCAGTCAACTATGCATTAAGATTGCAACCCAAGGATCCAATATGAAATCAATGGTACATCTCTCAATCTAAGTCGTTTTGAACTGTAGCATCACAAATTCGACCTGGTACTGTATCCCTGGGCAAAGGTATTTGTCCTATAAACTAATCGTGGTCAGAAGCTGCCTCTCTTCAAATGAGCTGGTACCATAGCTGCCTGCCTGTGCAAATGAAAAAACGCCACAAGAGGGCATTAGAAAACATGACACCTTTTATTCATCATACGGTATAAAAGCTCTGTACTTTTAGTCCTCTATAAAGAGAATTTTGTTTGAAAGCACCCTCAGAAAAACTTTAAATGAGCTTTTAATTCCAAATTTGACAAGCGACCAGGATTCTCCCGCACAGCGGTGGAGCCGCACGTAAATAAAAGCCTACTTTGTATTTCCACTCAAGTTAAAGCATATTTCAGCAGCATCTGCTTCAGCAAAGGGACAGCTCCCTCGACCAGAAAACAGGCGACTGGAACAGAGAAAATGAAGTGAACGTGTTAGCGAGGCAAGGAAACGGGAGAGCACAGCTCATTTCAGAAAAGAGAGAAATTCCAGGGAACATTCAGCTTTTTTTCCTGATTAATTAACCTGGAATAGATACTTAAAATCAAAGCAAATGATAGCATCCCGCAGATGGATGGAAAGGGACTGCCATTGCTTTAGTCCTCTGCGTATGAGTCCTCTTAAGTGAATGATTATTCATCCCAAGGCAGGTGCAAGACTTTAGGGTCAGCTTTAGACACAGAGGAAAAACCCTCCTTTAAAAAAAAAAGAAACCACGACTTTTAAATGCCCTATTATAGTAAATTATCCACAAAACTTTATGGAAAGCAGAGATATCTCACTCCCCCCCCCTTATGTCTAGAGGGGAGATCTTCCGCAATTGCCTGCCTGGCAATTCCGCCTTCTGTGGTCTCCTAACCCGCAACGCTTTCAAGGTACAGTGGTACCTCGGGTTAAGTACTTAATTCGTTCCGGAGGTCCGTACTTAACCTGAAACTGTTCTTAACCTGAAGCACCACTTTAATTAATGGGGCCTCCTGCTGCTGCCGCGCAGCCGGAGCACGATTTCTGTTCTCATGCTGAAGCAAAGTTCTTAACCTGAAGCACTATTTCTGGGTTAGCGGAGTCTGTAACCTGAAGCGTATGTAACCTGAAGCGTATGTAACCCGAGGTACCACTGTAGTTAGAAGTTTCTTGGGCGCGGGGGAACAAGGAAGCCAGCCCCTGCGTCGCTAGCCAGCAGCTGCGCCAGCTGGAAGGAACTGGCTGAGAAAGCGATACTGGGAGCAGGACATCCGAAGCGGCGTCCACGACGGGAGGCTGCTCGTTGGCAACCCCCTGCCCGCCCGCCCCTCCGGTTCTCAGTCCTGAGCTGGCGACGTGAAGCTCAAGGGACACGTCTAAAGACCAAGGGAAGGGCCGTCGCGCCTCCAGGGCAGAGCAACTACTTTGCTCGCAAGGGGCGCTCCAGACAGTCCTCAGCAGCATCCGTAAAGGCGAGCTTGTAACCTAAGGTTAACTACGAGGTTGGTGATTCGAGCCCACCCATCGACGGCTGTGGACTTTGCAGGGGGGGTTGGACTAAATGACCCTCGAGACCCCTCCCAACTCTACCGTTCTGAGTGCGCCAGAACCACAGAAGGGCATCCTTCCGAAGAAGGCTCAGGATCAGGCCGCCTCCTTCTCCCGACGCAGCCTCGACGCCCCCACACCGCTCCTCTCCCCCCGCCCGTCAGGTCTCCCGCAGCTCCGGGGCGCTGGGGGGCTTCGGGAGGAGGCTGGGCGGCCCCGCCTCCGCTCTCGCCTCCCCGATATAAGGAGCCGCCGACGGCGCCGCCTGCCCAAAGAAGCCGCCGTCGTGGCCGAGCGCACCATGCCGGGAGCCGGGACTTCGACGCTGCTCTGCCTCGCCCTGGCCGCGCTGCTCAGCCCGCCCGCCGACGCCTGGTACAAGCAGACGGCCGGACCCAGCTACTACTCGGTGGGCAGGGCGTCGGGGCTGCTGTCCGGCATCCGCCGCTCGCCTTACATGCGCCGCTCCGACGACACCGACAGCAGCAGCACCAGCGCCGAGAGCGGCCCCGGCGCCGCCTCCTTCTTGATGTCCGAGCCGCGCCCGAACCCCAGCGGGCTGCGCAACATGGTGAGCGGCTAGGGGGCGCCCGGATGGAAGTGGAGCCCCCTGGAAGAGGGAGGGGGTCCCGGGTGGAGAAGGCAGCTGGGGGGGGGAGTTTCTTTTATATGCATTGTGATTTATTTCAATGCATTGCATTGTATATTTATTATTATTGAGTTAGAGCGTACATTAGCCACTCCCGAAAAGTTGTATTCATCAGATAATTATAGTAATAGTATCAATCAGCACTTTCTAACTTTTTAAATTAAAAAAGCCTATATGGTTTTATACCTATATTTTTTTACCTATAAAAATCTGAGAGGAAATATCTATTTTAATGGTTTTAATGTTGTATTTTAATCTTGTTTTTAAGTTGTATTCATGCAACTCGTTTTTATTATTGGTTGTTAGCCGCCCTGAGCCCGGCCTTGGCTGGGGAGGGCGGGGTATAAATACAGTTTATTATTATTTGCTGCTTTTTAGCCAAACAGGCCGTCGGGTCGCGCTGTATCAAGGAGGTAAAGATATTGCAATGATTGAAGGGCCCGGGAGATGCTCAGCTCCATCCTGGGCACATTGCAAGGCTCTTCTGCTCCTCGGGGCTTCAGGGTCGCAGTCGAGCAAGCCGGGGAGGGAGGGAAGCCCGAGCCTTGCCCTCTCACTTTCCCCTTTTCCCCTTGCAGGCGGTGTGTGTGAAGGAGGTGGCCCCGGAGCTGCAGAGCTGCCAGCTGCTGCCTGGCTTGCCCAGCGTCATCCAGTGCAAAGCCGATGTCACCGTCTCGCTGGACCCCGCGGACTGCGCCAGCGCTTGAGCCCCGACGGGGCGTCCTTCCGCCTGGAGCCCGGAGCGGGGCATCCGGACGGGGCGAGGAGAGGGAGGGAGGCGGAGGCAGCGGAGGGGGTTGCTCTCTTGCCAAAGCGACCGACTCCGTCCGGGAGTGTGTGTTTTTTCTCCTGCATCTCATAATAAAGGCGCTTTAAACGGCTCTTGTGCTTCCCTGGGTTTCTTGATAAAACAGGTTGAACAAAGATTATTGGCTCCACAGAAGGAGACACCGGGAAGAGAAAGATGACGCTTCTTTGGTCAAAATCTGAGTAAACATAATTACAGTGGTACCTCGGGTTACAGACGCTTCAGGTTACATACGCTTCAGGTTACAGACTCCGCTAACCCAGAAATTGTACCTCGGGTTAAGAACTTTGCTTCAGGATGAGAACAGAAATTGTGCTCTGGCGGCAGCAGGAGGCCCCATTAGCTAAAGTGGTTCTTCAGGTTAAGAACAGTTTCAGGTTAAGAACGGACCTCCGGAACGAATTAAGTACTTAACCCGAGGTACCACTGTAACGTGAACTCAGTGAGGCTCCATTCTGACCAGGCATATATCCAGAACAGGGTTTAGGGGTGCTCAGAGGTGCTGCTAGCACCGCCCAGGGGATTTCACATTTGGAGGACAAAGATTTCTCAGCTCCATCCCTCCTGCCGCTGTTGCAATGGGAGAAGCTGCCGCCAAGCCCAGAAAAGGGAAGAGGGTGCCTTTATCTAGGTCAGGGGTAGGCAAACTAAGACCCGGGGGCTGGATCCGGCCCAATCGCCTTCAAAATCTGGCCCTCAGACGGTCTGGGAATCAGCGTGTTTTTACAAGAGTGGAATGTGTCCTTTTATTTAAAAAGCATCTCTGGGTTATTTGTGGGGCATAGGAATTCGTTCACCCCCCAAAAAAATATAGTCCGGCCCCCCACAAGGTCTGAGGGACAGTGGACCGGCCCCCTGCTGAAAAAGTTTGCTGACCCCTGATCTAGGCACTTTCAGAGAAACAGAGTGGGTTTGCACGCTGCTAAAATGGTCCCCAGGTTTCTCCCCTCCTGTTCCCGGGATTCAAAGGCAATCAAGGCTAACCAGGAAGATCAAGTATTTCTAAAAGACTGGAGTAAATTTTTAATATATTTAAAAGACCACTGTAAACAGTTAAAATCATTGGCGGGGATGTAATGACACTTGTAATGTGGAATCAACTATGGTAACTATAGATATATAACAGATGAATAATGGTAAAAGATGCACAATACTTTATTTCAAATATGGAACCCATGGAGAGAGGGCAGGAAGTCCACAGGTTTGAAAGAACCTTTTATTTTAATGTTTGAAATGGTTAAAGTTAAAATGTATAAAACTATGTAAAACCAATTTAAAAACAAAACAAACACACAAACACACAAAGGCAATCAAGGCTGTAGCCCTCTGCTTGCATTTACCTGGGAGAAAGTCCCACAGAACAGAGTAATGCATTTCCACAGAAACGTGCACTGGATCGCACTGCCTGGCTGCAAGCCAAAGCTTGTTTAGGTAAAGGTAAAGGGACCTCTGACCATTAGGTCCAGTCATGACCGACTCTGAGGTTGTGGCGCTCATCTCGCTTTATTGGCCAAGGGAGCGTACAGCTTCTGGGTCATGTGGCCAGCATGACTAAGCCGCTTCTGGCGAACCAGAGCAGCGCACGGAAACACCGTTTACCTTCGCCATTTACCTTCCTGCTGGAGTGGTACCTATTTATCTACTTGCACTTTGACATGCTTTTGAACTGCTAGGTTGGCAGGAGCAGGGACCGAGCAACGGGAGCTCACCCCATCGCAGGGATTCGAACCGCCGACCTTTTGATCGGCAAGTCCTAGGCTCTGTGGTTTAACCCACAGCGCCACCCGCGTCCCTAAAGCTTGTTTACATGAAAGCAAATGTACGGGGATCGGTCATTAGTGTTGAGTAAGCAGGGACAAGTCAGGCTGCAACTTATTTTCCTGCAGCAAGGCTGATCCACAAATATTGGCACCATATGGCTTTCCCTATAGTACCTGCCCAACTTAATCACCCTAATAAAAAATAATTAGGGAAATGATAATTTGCATTTTTAATAGAAATGCCTTTTTATCTGTGTCGAAAACAATTCAATGTCACAACGGGGACAGGGTGGTGGTACTAGAACCAATTTACGGTAATTTTTTATTTGGAAATTTTCTTAATTGCTTTATTTTTGAAAGAATCTCAAAGCATACAAAACAGAATTCAAATGCAATATATTAGTAAATTAAAATAGCACTGTACTATTCAGTCAGTAACACAAAGACACAGCCACCCCAGATTCCTCTATCCAAAATCCTAGCAGGTCACTTTATAGAACAAAGACAGCTGATCAGAAAAAAAAATATAATGGCCATGATGGCTGGGAGTGATGGGAGTTGGAGTCCAGCCACATTTCAAGAAAGCCACAAGTAATCTAATAGGCCATATTCAAAGGTAAAAGCAAGGTGTAACTGTGGCTCAGTCACATGAGAGAGCTATGAAGATCCTAGAAGGAATGTAGATAGAATGTAGGATCTGTTCTGAAGCCATCTTTTATTGGTTCACTTTATTCCTGATGGCAATGGGAGAAGAAGAAGAAGAAGAAGAAGAAGAAGAAGAAGAGGAGGAGGAGGAGGAGGAGGAGGAGGAGGAGTTTGGATTTGATATTCCGCTTTATCACTACCTGAAGGAGTCTCAAAGCGGCTAACAATCTCCTTTCCCTTCCTCCCCCACAACAAACACTCTGTGAGGTGAGTGGGGCTGAGAGACTTCAGAGAAGTGTGACTGGCCCAAAGTCACCCAGCAGCTGCATGTGGAGGAGCGGAGACGTGAACCTGGTTCCCCAGATTACGAAACTACCGCTCTTAACTGGAGAACTTTGTTCTTGGCTAAAGTTTGAATAGTCTTGTCCAGGGCTTTTGCCATTGTAAGTCAAGTCAGGAACTGTGGACTATTTCATAGTTATTATTAATAGAGGTTAAAGCCATGTCTGTTATGGAGTGGACACTCAGAAATAATATTTATTAATTTCCTAAATTTTATGTATATAAAATTGACTGTGGAAAAATCTCAAAGCAATTCAAAGAAGATAAAACAATAAAATCAAGAAAGAAATCACAACCCTACTTTAAGTCATACAGAAGTTAAAATATTAAAACAGATTAAAATCACCACAACTTTCTAAGCATAAGGGTAGGCTTGTCTAAACAGGAATGCTTTTTTGCAGGCGCTGAAAAGAGCACAGTGAAGGTGCCTGCTTGCTTTCAATAGGCAGGGAGTTCCAAAGTGTAGTGCTGCCACACTAAAAAACCGAGTTCTTACAAACATGGAACGGGCATTACTGTATGTGGCACCTGTAGTAGTGCTAATTCTGCTGATCGAAGCAGTCAGCTGGTGATCTCTGAGCTGAAGCAATTGTAGTTATCTTAACACTGTACTTGTAAAAGATACATTTGCAAACGTGACTTTTGCATTTGTGGCACAACTCCGAGCTCTATGTGGCGAACACAATTGTTGCATGTACTTCAGTGTTTACACTGTGTACCCTGCCTGGTTCAGAGCTTCTGCATGTGTACACAGTTATTTCAAAACATCTATGTACATAATAATAAATGCACTTTGGAACTTCCAGCCAGTTGAGATCAAGCAGGCATATTTTGGTGCTTGCTTATAGAACCCTTTTTTGTTTAGGCAAGCCTTGCCAGCCATGTACCGTAGATGCTCTCATGTTTTTATCTTTTCCGTCTGTTGGTTTTTCTCGTTTTTAAATATTTTAACTGTTTCATTGAAAAATAATATTTCTTGTAAACGGCTTAGAGGTTTGGTGGCAATCAACCTGTATATAAATGTTATAAATAAATGAATAATCTATACTTTGTGCCCACTGTGCAATACACACACCCTGGTTCTATTTGTCACACAAAGTGGAGCTGCCCACCCTCTTACATCTTTAAACGTGCGCTTACTTAGAGGTGAGATTCCAGATCCTCCTTTGACTGTCTGGGACAATCTAAATCCTCAGAGCGTGGAGGGAATGGATTGATGTATCAATCCTGGATCCCCTAGTTTGTGGGAATATCTAATTCCATCACTGTCTCTCTGTCTCTCTCAAACACACACACACACACACACACACACACACACAAATATTGGAGCTTCAGGAATTATAGGCCCATAAGGCAGATGTCCTCATTTAATCATCTCATCTGCAGAAATTAACGAACTAATTAGGGAGAGGAATAAGTTCCGCAGCCTAATGTTAACTAATACTGTCAAGCAGAACCAGTCACCTTTCCTCAGAGACAGCAGGAGCTGCAGCTTAATTACAAGTGACAGCACTGCTCACAGATACAGGAAAGAAATCTCCACCTCCAGGAAGGGAGATGAGCGCTGTTAGCAGCAGCTTGTTTACTCAGCAAGAAGTTGATTTTGGGGTACATTAGCACATGGGCATAGGCAGGATATTGGGGGGGACCTTTTGTGGTGGGCAGAACCTCAGTTTGCTATGTATTTTTACTAATTTATATTTATTTGGGCAGTAGCTACCCCTTCCTGCCTCCCCCTTGGCTATGGGCATGCATTAGCATGGTGCAGGAGGGAGATATGATGGCCCCCTTGTAGCCGCTATTGAGAGGAGGACTTGGAACATCCTGCAGGAGAAGGCAGAAAGTGTGTGTGTGTGTGTGTGTGTGTGTGTGTGTGAGAGAGAGAGAGAGAGAGAGAGAGAGACTTAGACACATATAAAAAACGTTGTGAAAAAAAATATTGAATCTGCCATAGCTCACCATTGCCATCTAGTGTCACATTTGTATAATTCACTTTAGTAAAGGTAAAGGGACTCCCTGAACTTTAGGTCCAGTTGCGGACAACTCTGGGGTTGTGGCGCTCATCTCGCTTTACTGGCCGAGGGAGCCGGCGTACAGCTTCCGGGTCACATGGCCAGCATGACTAAGCCTCTTCTGGTGAACCAGAGCAGCG